CGTCCCCTTTGCTACTGTTCCTCTGCCTGACAAATGCACTAATCAGCCTGATCCACCTCACTGGGCAAGCGGAAGCTAAATGGTATCTATGGAGCACTTGGAGCAAGTGCCTTAGGAAAAAGGTCCGGATAGACTGATGTCATTTTCAAATTGCCAATATCAAAGAGAAATCACGGCAAGGATCGTAAGAACAGAACGTCGAGCCTGCAGAATGAGTTTGCATCCTGCTCTTCCCTCCCACTGTTGCAGCAACAAATCAGGTGCCAGAGGAGAGCTGCGCTGAAACAGATCTTCAGTGCCGAGGGGCCAAATGGGATGTTTTACTGCATCAAATAAGGCCCGATAACGTCCTCAGGCACTTCCAAATGGTCATAAAATATCCTAGGCCTGCAAGGCAGGTTTGTAGGCTCTCCAACACCTCCCAAGGAACAACTGCTTGACTGGGTAAAGTCCATCCTAAAAGAGGATTGCGTTGTAGTCTTTTGGAAAAGAAGCCGGTAGGCTCTTCTATCTGGAGCTACCAGAAACAAGCAAGAAAACTGTAAGCCCTCAACAGTTACGAGACACCCAGAAATTTTGTGTGTTAGGAGTGGCCTTCAGGGATGAGCCCAAGGTGTCACATGCAGGAAGGGCACTCCTAAGACCAGCCTTCAGCTCCCACTGCCTTCCATGTGCTTCCAGAGAGCTGAGAGGAAGAGCTCAGATTGCCACTACAAATTCTTCTACGTGTTCTATGGCGACATCTGGTGCTGCTACTGCTCCCTGTTGATCCCCACTCCCCACCACACTCCTCATTCCTCTTTCTTCCCTCCTCCCTACCACCTCTACCTTGTTCCAGCAAGAACAAAGGGAAGGTTCTGGAGCTGGGGAGCCAGTGTGCTGCCTTTTATGTCAGGGCTGAGGACGATCTACCAGACAATGCCCACTTTCTAAAGCAAGCAGAGCCACTCTGGGGCCCACTCGGGACATAAGGAGGGCTGGGTGTATTCACTACGTACTAAACATAAACTATTTAGCAGCCATCTTCGAGGCTGGCGATGCAGAATAGAGGTCACCAGGGAGGCTCTGGCCGCTTGTTTTAATTGTGGGAGACGCCTTTCACGCACATGCAATCTCTCCCTGTGATTTATCACTTCCCTGGGTGTTTTTTAAGTGTTCTACTTCACTTCACCAGCCCTGCATCTCCAAGGGGAGTCTGCACATATTGAAGATGACATTGGACGTTTATGTCTTCCTGATTCAAGAGAGGAGGCCAGAGCTTCAAATAAATGTCAAGGCTCTTCTGTTCCTGTTCCTCCACCAGTGGAAGCCACAGCTGGACCTTGACGGTTCAAACCATTTACTAATGAAATAAGCTTTCTAAGCTCCTCCACCAAGCCCATGATTTCTCATCTGTGAATTTCCTTTGAAATCCTGTGCTCCCTTGGAGACCGTGGGCACAAAAAACGATGACTTTGTTTGCTGGCACTCAGACCAGCTCAGGATCGGGAGACTAAAACTGGTTCCTTGACAAGGGACAAAAGCAAGACCCCGAAGTGTCCATACTCCAGGATCACATTTTCCTCTCCAAAGGGTGGTGGCACAGCTAAGTCACACCAGGCCATACCCCTGTCATCAGTACTGTGGCTCTCAGGGCAAGAAGCTCAGGCCCATGGCACTCTGCATCCCCGACCCCAGCCTGACTGCCAGACCGACTCCCCTCATTCGGAAGGCTCAGATGCCAGGGCCACATGTCACTCCTTCTGAGAATGAATCGAATCCAGGTTCCCCAGGGTGGCTTTTGATTGCCAGTGTTGCTCTGACTCGGATGCAAATGCCAAACCAGTTGCACGGATCAATTGGGAAAAACAGAAATGCAGGGAGTTAAGATTAGCAGGAGGAGAAAAACCTGCCCTTGCAAACTCAAATCAAATATTAGAAGGAACCAGTGAAGTTAATTCTGGCTTTTTAAAAGTTTTCACCTCCAACCCACATAGCACTCACTACAACTAATGACCGTGCTCACACAGCTATGTGCAGGAACGTGGCAGCGCTGCCCGATGCCTGCCTTCGTCCTCAACTGGGGCTTACAGCAGATTTGCTTCTTTTTATATTTTTAAGCCCTTACTGAATTCTTACTGTGCATTGTTTCATGTGCATTTCCCCATTTAATCTGCACAACAATCCCAGGGGGCGGGGGGTAAGGACTATTTTTATTCACCTTTTACAGGTGCGGACACAAGCCTGAGGGAGAGGAAGACTTCTAGAGAAAGGAAGTTGCAGAGCAGTGGTAACCTTGGTTAACCAGACTGGACAGCCGTCGGCATTCCCAGGGGAATGAGGAACCTAAGGGTAAACTCCTTGAATTAGCCTGAGCGTCACACAGCCCCCGTCGGTACTGCTAAAACCCCGTCAGACTCCGAGAGCTCTCAGCAAGGCAGAAGAGGACTGGAAGTAGTAGGTGAGAGACCTGTTCTTTCATTGAAGAAATCTATGATCAAAAAACATTAAAAAAAAAACCCCAAAATCAATGCAGGCTGGTTTAGATCCAGATTAATGAGCTTTTAGGCCACTGGAAACCATCCAGTTCACCACCAGCCTTTGCAACTCTCATACCCGTTCTAGATAGAACTCTATCTAGGCACCCACACTTCCAAGCCTGAAGCGGTCTTCTCTTCAGCTAGGCTCACATCAGGCTAGACTGGAGTGGCCAGACCCTAGAGACACCCCAGCTCAGGGAGGTGGCTGGTCAGTCCTGGTCACCAGCCACAGGGACAGCCAAAGTATAGACAACGCAATGTGCATTGAACTTCATGTGCAGCAAAAACGACCACTATTTAATCTCGTCATAATGAGAGAACTCCTGTCATATTAAAAGCCAAGTCAAGGCCGGGGGCGATGGCTCATGGCTATAATCCTAGCACTTTGGGAGGCCGAGGCAGGAGAATTGCTTGAGGCCAAGAGTTCGAGATCAGCCTGAGCAACATGGCGAGACCCTGTCTCTACAAAAAATAGAAAAACTAGCCAAGCATGGTTGTGTGTGCCTGTAGCCCTAGCTACTGGGGAGGCTGAGGCAGGAGGATCACTTGAGCCCAGGAGTTGGAGGTTGTAGTGAGCTATGACGATGCTACTGTACTCTAGCCTGGGCAACAGAGCAAGACTCTGTCTCAAAAAAAAAAAGCTCAATTCTACGCTTTTATTAAAGATTAATCAGAATTCTTGATTAATTGGAGCCTGGCAATCTTCTTTGAAAACAAGCTCACATTAAGACACTAAAAGAATGGGCCAGGTATAGTGATTCATGCCTGTAATCCTAGCACTTTGGGAGGCCGAAGCAGGAGAATCACTTGAGGGCAGGAGTTTGAGGTTGCAGAGAGCTATGATGATACCACTGTACTCCAACGTGGGCAACAGAGTAAGACTCTGTCTCAAAAAAAAAAGACATTAAAAAAATGAGTGAATGAATAAATGCTTCCATGTGTGTCTTGGAAGCAGTGCAAATTTAACTAAAAATGAGACTTCTTTTGTCTACATCTCAGTGAGAACTGATGGTCAAAATCAGGACCCTGAAGAATTTAAACATTCTGCATCATTATAGAAAGAAGATGAAATCATGTTCAGGTTGAAGAGCACAGTCCCACATAGGGAATATCTAATGGTACCAACTGAAACAAAGTGGGATTTTCTGTTTGCCCCTGTGGTAACCACAAAGTTCAGTAAACCAAGGGGTGGGTGCAGTAGGGGCACTACTCGAGCCGATGACCCACCTGGCCTACCCAAGCCCATGCTGGCCATATTGCCCTGCTCAGAGCGTGCGCTGCTTGGTGTTGGGGTACAAACGCCACCATGGAGTGAGAAAGCTGAAGAAATAAGAGCCTACTAAATAAAAGTGTCACACACAAATCAGGGTTCATGCCATGGATTCTTGGAACCACCGACAGCTCAAATCCATCTTATAATATCTATCTGGGACTTTAATAACCTCTCTTGCTAAGATAACAACCACAAATGGGATCTATTTTATGTCAGGTCTCTTTTTGGCAGGAAGCTTCCAATGAGCTTATTCGACTCTAGTAGCAAAAACTACAGTGAGGATTCCAAAGGATACATCCTGCGTGACTGTCGGATGGCGCTGGGCTCATTGGCATGGGTTAGTTGAGGAGCAGAGGCAGGATGACATTTTATCATGGGGCAAAATAAATTCTCTCCACTGCCTAGGCATGCGAAAAGAATAACGACAGTAGCAGAAGAAAAGCAGCAATCATTCAATTAATTCACTCAACCACCACTGACCACTCCTGCCCGGGTGCCCGTGACCACACTGCTCAATGTGGGTTCGCTCCAACCAAAGCTCCACTCCACCCTGGGAAGGAGCCGACGCAGAGACAGCCAAGCACTGATGGGTCACACAGTCTACTTGACGGACTTACATACCAACCCCCTGTGCTCTGTTTTCTTTACTTGAAAAGAAAAGGGATGTGTACAGACAGGGGAAGCTCTAAAGGAAAATGAGCCAGCATGGGCGACCTCTTCATTCCATGACCAGGAGCTACAAGGTGTGACCGTGGGTTTTCAGAGATAATCAACACATGAAAGGTCTTGATCTTGAGTTTAAGACATCAGTCTTAAAAGTACCCAAACTGACCCCATTTCCATGCTAGGGTTATTTATCTAAGGAGTATGCCACCAACACAAAGGACTTTTAGACACACCTGACTGGACAAGAAGCCATGACCTTCCCCAGCCCGACAGTGACACAAGATGAGAAGGACGACCAGTTCTACGACCCCATGACATGCTCTTCAGAACAAGGCAGCCTTCTGGGGACCTGGAGGTGGGTCTGGCCCCACCGGGCAATGCCTGCTCTCAGACTCAAAGCATGCTGCGGCCAGTACCCAGGCACCACCTGCCCTCGGGAGAGCTCAGTGTGGCCCGAGGACAGAGACAGGCAAGCTCATGCATGGTTAGTATCACAGAGGGCAGTACCATCACCACATACAGAGTACCTGGGAACAACCTACTTTGAGGGCTCAAATGCAGATAGGTCTTCTGCCTTGGGCTTGAGGCTAAACCAGCAAAATAAAATGAAGAAAAACAAAAACATACCCTGTGATATCAACAATGCCACATATGCCATTTGCAAAATGCTCAGACAGGCCTGAAATCTTGACAAGTTACTTCATTTTTAATGGCTTAGGAATGGGTCTCTCCAGCTTACAGCACTCCAGGTCCCTGTGGCCAGGGTTCAGCTCACTGCAGCAGCAGCAGGAAAGATGAGATTACTCCTGGTGCCCAGACGACAAGGTGAGGGGTGAGGGGGTGGGGTGGGGTGTCTTAGGCAGCTCATTCAAGGCCTGACCAGCTCACTGGCCCAGTCATTGTTGTACCTCTTTCCTTAATGATGAGGCCTCCCTTTAACTCACTCCCCTTTTACTAATTGTTTAATAATTTTATTTGGGGGCCGGGTGTGGTGGCTCATGCCTGTAATCCCAGCACTTTGTGAGGCTGAGGCAGGAGGATCACTAGAGGCCAGAAATTCAAGACCAGCCTGGGCAATATAGTGAGACTCCATTTCTAAGAAAATTTTTTTAAAGATTATCTGGGCATGGTGGTGCACACCTGTAGTCCCAGCTACTTGGGAGGCTGAGGTGGGACAATTGCTTGAGCCCAGAGTTCAAGGCTGCAGTGAGCTGTGATTGCACAACTGCATTCCAGCCTGAGTGACAGAGTGAGACCCTGTCTCTAAAAATAAAAAAAATTTATAATTATTTTAGAAGGTCAATCTAGTAAATTACAGAAGCCAGAGGAAAGAAGAATGTGGAAATACCTTTTCTTCTAGGTTACACTATTGAAAGAAATTCTCTACCCAGCGCCAGCTGTAACTGGAGTCGAGAGATAGAAGAAGTCAGGGCTCCCTACTGTACCACTCAATGATTGCAGATAGACACAGATCTCTTGTAGTTTTCAGATACAGCTTAACCGCTGAAAACAGAGATAGTCCTTAAACTGGGAGACCATTTTAAAGACTACGGTAAAGAGTAAAAAATTAACCATATCAGCCGTTTTCTCAACTCAGTGAATAGAGTTATCTTAATAACATCTATTTTATAGGTGTTAACCTGATCCTGAACTATCAGTTAAGTGCAGAGTTTTAACTGGTAAGAGAGGACCTTCCTGCTTGGCCCAAATAAGAGAAGTATGTTCTTGGGCTGATAATTAGTATGGAATTTAGCTTCTAAATCTCTATGAGGCCCAGTATGGTGGCTCATGCCTGTAATCCCAACACTTTGGGAGGTTGAGGTAGAAGGACTGCTTGAGGCCAGGAGTTTGAGACCAGCCTGGGCAACATAGCAAGACCCTACGCCTGAAAAAATATAGCTGGGCTGGGCACAGTGGCTCAGACCTATAATCCTAGCACTCTGGGAGGCCGAGGCAGGAGGATTACTTGAGCTCAGGAGTTCTAGACCAACCCGAGCAAGAGCAAGACCCCATCTCTACTAAACACAGAAAAATTAGCCGGGGGTGATGATGCATGCCTATGATCCCAGATACTCAGGAGACTGAGGCAGGACGGTCACTTGAGTCCAGGAGTTTGAGGCTGCAGTGAGCCATGATCACACCACTGCAGTCTAGCCTGAGTGACAAAGTGAGACAGAGTCTGTCTCTTAAAAAAAAAAAAATGTCTAAAATGCTGAAAACTTAAAATACTAGTAGAGAAAGGTACAAAACTGTTTACAACATAATGAAGTCTCATCTTTTAAAACACTGAGGTTATCCTAGATACTTTCTCTTAAGTATTAAAAGGAAGGTTAAAAATCCAGGACTTGGTTTCTCAATCAAGAACAGAATTTTACAGTCCTTGCCACTTAAAGACACAAAAAGACAAGAGGGGAAAAGTCCATTCTCAACAGCCTCTATGTCATTTTGCTTTCTCATTAAGTAAGGCAGCTCCCTGGGCATAAGGCCCCTTGGCTCACAGACAGAACCACTTTACTGCTAAATGATGGCTCAAACCCACACTGTACCAGGGACTCATTACATCAGAGCTTTTAACACAAGCTCCACTTCCATCAAGCCAATGGGTTCATAGTCATTGGCAGATTAAATTCCCTTTCTGGCAAGAGTCACAAAATTTCCTCAACTAAGTACATATAAAAAATAACAAAGTCTAATGACTTGGCTACTAAGGAAACCAGATGCCAATGCCACATTTCATTAATGACTGTCCCGATCAGCAAAATACAAGGAAGACTCTGGTACCTTCTTAATGGTATTGTGCTTGCTGCTGCCGCCACCCCGGTCAGAGTTCTCGTTGTGCAGGATGTCCAAAGCCGTCTCCCGCTCTTTCAGTTTCAAGGCCTCGATCTCTGTCTTGAGTTCGTTGAGCTGCTCCTGCAGATGCTTGCTCTTCTCCATATACTCCACTCTGCCATCAAGGGCACAGCACGTATCAGGACTCGGGCAACAGTGGGACGTGGCTGAGATGCTCCATGACCCACGAGCTGCTGGGCGTGGGATCTAAGGTCTGAGGCCTGGGGTTTGTGTCTCCACTTGACCACTCATGGGTGGTGGGAGCTTGGGCTGGTCACTTAACTGCTATGAATCTGTTTCCTCACCAGTAAAATTGGGATAATGATCACAGGGCTGTGTGGTCAGGATTGAATAAAAGAAAGTGTAGGAAGGCCCTCTGTAAACTCTCAGAGCGCTCTGCAAATACCAGTTGTCACAAATAGCTTTAGTTCTGCACAAATAACAACACACGAAATAAGCCTCCTGGCACCCAAAACAATCTCCTTGTCTTGACCCTTCTTGGAGCAGTAATTCAAGTGACAGCTTTTTTTTTTAAGTGCTGGTTTTCAGAATCATTAAGCGACCTCTTTTGCTAGGCCACGTCCAAACCTCCACTTGTTCTGAGACTTCATCTTCTAAAGATGACAGAAGCTTGCTCAGCCAACACAGGAAGAAAAAGATTCCTCCAACTTCACCTGCCAGTAAATACACTGAGCAACATTATCTGTAATGCTGAAAATCTGGAAACCACCCACAAAGCATCCAACTACAAGGGCATGGTCAGGAAAACCATGCAACACAAATACCAACGAACGTTCCGTAGGAATTATCATGGCTAGTGTGTGGACTGTCAACACGTGCAACGGTAATAAGTGTTACGGATGTTTGTGTCTCTCCCAAATGCCCATGTTGAAAGCTAATCACGAATGTGAAGGTGTTAGAAGGTGGGGCCTTTGGGAGGTAATTAGATCATGAGGGTGGAGCCCTCGTGGATGGGATTAGTGCCTTTGTAAAAGAGGCCCCGGAGGCCCAGAGAGACCCCCGCTCATCCACCACGTGAGCACACAGCAAGAAGGGGCCGTCTAGAAGCCAGGAAGAGGGTCTTCACCAGACTGAGTTTGCCAGTGCCTTGATCCTGGACTTCCTGGCCTCCAGAACTGTGTATAAGCTACCTCGCCTCTGGTATTTTTTCGTAACACCTGGAACGGACTAAGACTAACAAAATGCAAACTATAAAAAGCAGGACACAGAACAGGACGGCGCCTCACCCTGCTCCCCACCACAGAAAAACCCATGTCTGGACAATGGTGAAAGGAACTCAGACAGCAGATGGAGGCTCCTGTTCACTGGTTACTTAGCTCTACCCTCAGCATGAGAACCCTGAGAGAAACACAGCCTGGCCGTGGCCGCCCGCACTGGACTCCACAGAGACTCTTTCCCCAGAGGGTTTTCCTGATGACGCTACACATGGTAAAAGCATGTATGTAGAGTCAGATGGGTGAGGGTTTCAGCCCCTGGGCTACTCATCAGCTCTGTGATGAGTAGCTGGGCGAGTTCACTGAACTCTCTAAATCTGGATTCTCATTTATAAAATGGGAACACTAAAACCTACCTTTGATGTCAGTGTGGTGTTTATTAGTAGGTACTCAATGAGACAAAAGCTAAAATACACGGGCACTCAGTGCGTGGCAGCTACTGTGACTGTCCTCTGGCGAGCTGTGGCACAGTTAACCAGTTTACCTCTGGCTCTGCGAACTCGGGGCCTTCGCTTAGACGTCCTCTGTTAGGAAGACTTTCCGACTCTGATCCACTTGCACTGACCACAGAGGAAGGGGGAGGGCAGCTAGGCAGAAACTGCTGGGGTCAGGCCGTGCTGGGGCTCGGCTGGTACTGCAGGGCTGGCCCCGCCGGGCGGTTGCCTTTCCTCAGCCTTGAGCCTGGGTCCCCTCTCGCTCACCTTTGTTCATTCTAGACGTGGGGACCACCACAGGTCCCAGCCATTGGAAGACACAACAACTCAATGAGGAGACAACTGCCGCCGAAGACAACAGCAGTTGGGCTGACTTGGAGACCTGACAGCCCCGTCCTACCCTTTAGGCGAGGTCTGCAGGCACTATCAACTCCAGGTCCCCAATCAGGTGTAATTTTTATCCTGGAGAATTGAACCCTTAAGTGTTGTCCTTAATTTCTGAAATTCCTCCTCCAGGGGGTGAGGACAGAGTAAACCTTTGCAGGAGCCAGTGGTAGGCTGCTTTGGTGACCCTCCGCCTCCCCAGGCCGGACTGCTCACTCTAGTCACGGCTGCCCAGAGCAGGGTGCAGGGGGCTACCTACTTTTCTTTCTCTATCTCCATGGAAAGCCGCTTCATGTCAGTATCCTTGAAGTCGAAAGACAGACTGTCACCAATGAGGTTGAAGCTTGGTATGTCAGGAGGCAACGGTGCTGGAATCGGGTTCATGGGCTATCAATGAGAAATCTCAGATTAGGGGGTTTGGCTCGTGCAAGGACAGAGGGGCACCGCTGTGTCAACGACCAACCCTGCAGCAGGCACAAAGCCAATGGGCACAACACGGGCCCTGCCACCCAGCACCACCAGGACCTCCGTCCCTCTGCTTCAGTCTCTCCACACTCGCCGCTGCCAGGTGAACTGTCCCAAACATATAATCTAGGATCTAGACAAATCATCCCTCTCCTCTCAATCTTTAGCCATTCTTCATGCTCGGTTGACTCAAACACAAACTCCCACTCACTTTTTCATTTAGGAAACTCCCCGGCCCTGTGCTAGGAGCGGATGCAGAGAACAAGACAGGGTCCCTGGCTTTGAACAGCTGAGAGTCTTTTTAGGAAACAGATGTGTTCCCAGATGATCCCAGTTAAATAAGATAAACACTGTAGCCAGGGAGCAAACAGAGGCCGAGGGGCTGGAGAAGGTGTGCTAGAAGAGACGCTGCTTCCTCTGGTGTCTGAGAACATGCCAGAAGAAGGCCTGCTGGGTGGGGGGCACGGCAGGGGTGGGGCAGTGTTGGGCGAGAGCACTGGGCGTCTGCAGCTTGCTGTGGGGAGGCGGGTGGGAGACGGGCTCAAACACAAAGGGCGCCCGACCTGCAGACTGACAGCCTTGGGCTTGAAGCAGAGGTGAAGGAATTACGTTTATTTTTAGGACTTTCATCCCAGAACAAAGGGTCATCTAAAAGATGGCCCAATCTGCTTTCCCAGCTTCTCCCATGGCGTGTCCTACTAAATCATGAACGGTATCGTTTATTATCTCTTGGACCACTTTGCTTTCCCACCCCATACCCTTAGCCTCTACTATTCCTTCTCCCTACACTCCACCCTCTTTCAGGGACCTTCTCAAATACCACGATCTCTCACTAAATCCTTTCTAGATCCCTCTCGGCCAGATGGCAACTCTTTTCTCTGTTCTCTCTTAACACTGCGTTCTCGGTCCTGTAATGGCTCTTCTGTGATTCTACCCTGTGAAAGACTCTTCTTTGGCTGTGTCTTCATTCTACAGTTTGCAAGTTTCCTGAGGGCAGGATCTACCTCTTTTTCATCCCTGGATCCTTAACTGAGTCTAGGACAGTGTCCAGGAAAGAGCAGAGACTCAGAATATTTGAGACAATCACAAGGCCAAGGCAGACTGTGGTGCCGAGAGGAGGCTTCTGAGGGACTAGGAACGTGCTATTATCTGATCTGGGTGCTGGGTACATGGCTGTGTTCAGTTTGTGAAAATTCATTGAGCTATACAGCTGTAATTTGGACGCTTCTCTGTAAGTATGTTATACTTCATAAAAATTTCCAGAAAAGATGAATACTAGCATCTGCACCAATGGTGACAGCATAAACTGGTACGACCTCTTTGGAGAGCATCAAAATTGAAAATTTGACCCCACAGTTCTATCATAGGAATTTATTCTCCCAATCTATCCATGTGTTCAGGATGTTCAGTGCAATTTTGTTCAAAATTGCAAAAGAAAGCAGACTGAACACCCATCCATAAGGGACTGGCTAGATAAATTACAATCAATCCATATAAAAAACATGATTAAAAAGCTTATATGAATGATCTCCTCCAAGATTCATTGCTCAGAGGAAAGAGCAAAGTTAGAACAGTATATGAAATTTGCTCCAATGTATATTTTAAAAATATACACACATCTCAGCTGTGCCCTCAGAGGACTCCAGTCCCAGCCTCCATCTGACTGCAGCCACCTGAGAGATCCTGAGTGAGGACATCTGGCCCCATCAACCCACCAAGCCATGAGAGGTAATGACAAATGGTTGTTTTGAGCCACACGGTTGGCTTAGGGTGGTTTGTCACACAGTAATAGACAACCAGACATGGCAACAGCACACTGCTCACGTTTCCCCCCAGCTCAAACTCTGGGAAGCGTATGCCTCTTGTGCCCCGTGTGCATCTGTGTCACATGCATATCTGGGCCATGGACATATGTGTCTGTGTGCATGAATGTTCCGTGTGTGCGAACTGCCGTGTGCATGTCTGAGCCACATGTGTGTCTGCGCCCTGGCCCAGAACACCCTCTGGTCTCCTTCCTGCCTGGCTAGTTCCTGCTCCCCCTTCAAGAGTCAGGGCAAGTGCCATCCTGAGCCTCTCCTGCCCCTCCAGCCTGGGCTATATCCTCCTCTTCTAGGCACCTGTGCACACTCTGCCTACCTGTCTGGATAGGGACTTCCCCCTGGGTGGCATTATGTGGACATAGAACAGGTGTGCAAAACAGTTTGCAGAGCTGAATGCACGGAGAAAAGGAAGGCAAGAGGCTTCCATTCATATTGTGACCCCGTTTAATGGAGTCTGCCTCCTTGTCCTAAAACTGAGACTGGCAGCTGATTCTTGCACAGCAATAATTCACTCTGAGGTGCACAGCCAGTCCCTTCCCACAGCTGTAAGTACGACATGTGGTAGATGCGGATAGTTGAAGATTACACTCGGCTCAGCGTTAAGAGACAAGACTGCAAACTCTGAGGATGATTTGGGACTACATTACTTACAATAAGAAAGACATTTCAGAGCTGGAGAAGGCCCTGTTGCCGGTCATCCAGGCAACCAGAGAGGTACCTAGTCCCAGGCCAAATGGCAGACGGGGGTATCCTACCCAGTCCCTAACCGTAGGCTCCCTACACCTTTCTCCTGCCTTGCGTTTGCTTGAATGGTCACCCTGGGTACCGCCAGATGAACTGAAGAGCTGGGAGGGAAGAGAAGATCACCAGGTCTAAGGCAGCCACAGGCTGGCGGCCCCTACCCAGGCTCACCGGGTACGTGGGCTTAGTGGCGATTTCTAGGAGCTTTTGCTTGGCTCTCCGCTCTGCCTCGCGGGCTTCCTGCAGGTCCTGCTTCAGCTGATCTGCCTCCTTGGCCCTGCAAGGAAAGGAGGAGACGTCAGCTCCACACAAGAGGCCAGGTAAGGGGAACAGACCCCAACCCGCCACTGGAGAAGAGGGACCTGGGTTTACCCTGAGGACAGCACCTGACGACACAAGTAAGGACAGTGGGGCAGGGACATTTAAATGAAATCAGAACCTCCAAAACAGTATTCCTGGGTATTATTCATCTCAACTGGCAGATCTAAACTGGAAGAGCAGGGAAACCAGTTGAGAAAGGAACCACACAAGAAATTCTGCATTGGTGGAGAGGGAGGAGAACTGGGGGAGGCACCAGAAGCTTCCTCTGCTTTATTTCTGGGTGAGAGTGGACTGGGCAAAGGAGAGCACGTGGATCAAAGGTCTTATACTGGATCGCAAAGGACAGCATATGAAAGAACTGCTTCTTCACAGTCCCGAAGTAGAACACTTGCAGGCTGAGCACCAACTTTCTCAGGCAGGAAGATGAGCCCCGTCGCTGAGGGCACCCACGTCTGGGTGCAGATCCTCATGCTACAGGACACGGGCCGGGCACAGCATGTGAGGCCTAGCACAGGGACCTGGCCCGACAGGCATCACTCACAGGGAATATGACCTACACACAGAAAGAAAGGGACCCGAAAACAGGGCAGACAAGAAGGAACCAAGTCCCAGAATGACATGCAAAGAGTGGCAAGGAAAACCGTAGTGAATGCACCTTGGGAGCTAAAAGCCAAATTCAAGTGTTCTAGATCAACAGAGCCAAATTCTGTGGGGAATGTGCCAGTGTTTATTTAAAGGTTTCAGGACTAAAACATCCAGAGCCTAGAACAGTCTTTTAAAAGTACGGGCAACAGTTCCATTCTTCAATCTGTCCATGAGCTGGGTATCCTGGTCACAGAGAGCGTCGGGGTCTCTAGTTTCCCTTTGGAGGTAAACAACTGCTGCTCTCCTGTATCCCCCCAAATAAAAAAGAACCACCATTTTTTTTTTAATGCAAAAAGAGCCTCCTCACATCTGCTTAGCTAAAAGCGGTTTGTGAACGTGCTCAATGGCTTTCCTACAATCGTGGCTGGCAGAGGGACAAGGGCTTATCACAGAGGCACCAGCATGACGAGAAAGGTCCACCTGGCAAGAGAACTGGGTTCCTGTGCCCTTCAAATAGCTCCAGCCTCCAACCTGGATTAAGCACCAGTCCCCACCACCCTGCCATGGAAGAGCCTCCCCCTGCTCAGAGGACGGCTGCTGCGGAGATCCGCCTCAGGGCACGGCTGGGACCGAGTGGCCCTTTGCCAGGCTTCTCAACAGCCCAGCGCCCAGGACACCCCTCACCTCCTCTCTGACTCCTCGGCCATCTTCAGCGCCAGCACCTCAGCTTCCAGCACCTTCTGCTCCATCAAGCGCTTCTCCTCCTCTGTCCGAATGGCTGTGGCCTTGATGCGCTGCATTTCCTGTTCGGCTTCCGCGGCCTTCTGTGCCAGGAGCTTCGCCTCCTCCTCGGTGATCTGGGCTTTTTCAGCCAGCAGGTCGGCCGTCTCCTCAGACCGCATCTGGAGAACAGAGAGCTGTCAGCGGGCGTGGGGTCACGTGCTACTCTCCCTCCCAGATCTGTCCTCGGACGCCCAGAGCAGCAAGAACCAGAGTCTCGGACTCCCTGGCCCCGCCACTGAGTGCCCCAGAGACCCTGTGGCAACAGAGGACAAGCCACATCCCCCAACTTTTCAGAAGGGACCTTCACGCTGCACCCGGCGGAACAACAAGATCGCCTTTTCTGAGTGCCCACTTCAGTGAAGGCTTATGCTTTATGAGGGAGAAAAACAACTTAAACTCTGTTTCTCTTTCCCTTTAAATCAGGGGTTCAAAACCAGAGGCAGCTTTTCCCCCGCAAGGCACATGTGGCCATGTCTACAGACATTTTTGATTGTCACAAACAGAGCGTGAGGTGGTGCTACTGGCATCTAGCAGGCAGAGGCCAGGACACTGCTAACCAATGCAGAGGACTGCCCCCACAACAAACGACCATTGGTCCCAGGTGTCAGCAGTGCCGAGTCGAGAAGCCCTGCTGTGAAGGTAACCTCATGGTCAAAGTGGAGTGTGGCTGCATAAGGACTCCACGTAAATCTGCCTCTGCCAACATGGGTAGAAAGAAAAGGCACCAATTTGTTAAAAGCTGAAATAAAGTGTATCAAAACAAGTGTTGGTAATTCATGGTCCTCAGGAGACCTAATTCCAGAAAAGCAAGTTAAGTTCCAGGTAGCCTCCGGGGACCCCGACCCCTCGGAAATCACCAGGGCTTCATTGGCCATTGTCGCTTCTTCTTTCATCTGCAGCAGCCTCCTCTCCAGCTCGTCCCTCGTGCGTTCGGCCTCCTCCCTCATCTGCTTCTCTCGAGCAAGGCGCTGCCGCTCCATCTGCAGGGTGAACCAGAGCGCTCCCTGAGTCACTGGGCTCAAGATCTAGGGTGCCCCAATCTCCTGAGTCTCCCTTTTGGGGACCCTTTTCTTCCCTTGCCTTTAGGTAGCCAGGGTCATTCTTGCTCCCCCCCACCCCCGTCCTTCCAAACCAGTTGCAGAGTTGAAAGCTGTGTCCCTTGAAAAAATTCTAGTAATGAAAGACCAAACAAAAAGCCACGACTTGTTTCGACCTAGACAGAAAGCGGCATGCTTGCGCACGGGGCACTGGAACTGCTACCTTGCTGATGCCCCTTGTTGTTGGGAAACCTCAGGCAGATCTGCCCAGGGACGCATGGGACACAGTGCAGGTCCTCCTCCCTGAGATGAAGCCCCAAACAGACAGCTTTCTCATCTGGTCAGAAAGCCATCTCAGCATTGTTGATCCATACGGACCTCTCTCACGTCTCTGATTTCATCAACAATAGCGCCACTGCTGCCTCTGACCCACGGAGAGGATGGAATGGCTCGATGTGATGCATCAATAGTTCACACATCGTATTTCACAGGCGGAAGCTGCAGCAGCCACGGCACAGACTCGCACGGCCCCACACGGAGACGACTCCTGAGCCAGGCCTGTGACAGGAGGGAGCCAGGCAGGGAACACAGCCCCTGTCCTTAAGGCAACAGTACAAAGCTGCCACCGCCTCCCTCGCCTTCTGGATCACTACATTAATTGCACCACATGCCGAGCTTAATAAGGGGAACACGAGTAGGACAGCGCTATTCTCTGTGATCCCAGGGTACGAACTGAGTTCAGAAAGCAGGAGTGGCCACTGCACTATTTTCTGCCTTAAATAATTAAAGCACATTTAATTACTTCGTGTATCAATTTCATTCCAACCCTAGTAATGCAGATTTCTAAGACTGCTGCTTTTTCTAAATACTAAGCCAAAAAAAATACATTGGAACTTGAAAGAATAATGCAAAGACAAGCGATAAAATCCTGTAAGTTCTTCAATTTTCTTCTTGCAAGTCAATGAAAAGCTTGGCTAATTTGTTCTCCAATTTCCATCATATTATGATTTCCAAAAGGTGGATTACTACATCTATATTATCCTAAAAAAAAAAAGCCTAGGCAATCTCCTTCTGTTCCCAGCATTGTACTTTCCCAGAGACCTTTACAACAATAATGAAAGACCTTCCTTCCAGTCACAAAGCAGTTTATCACTTACAAAGAATTTCAGGTACGATATGTCCCTTACTCTGAGACAGAGAAGAAGTGTTATTAGCCCCACTTGACGGCTAAGAAAACTGCGGTCTGGAAGGTAAGCTGTTGACTGACGTTACATCCTAAGTTCAGACACAGCTCTAAGGTCAGTGAGCCACGGAGCCCTCTGACCTGTGGCAGCCCCGAGGATGTGCCCCGCTGTTCTGTAGGCAGTGCAGGTCTGGGCTGTGTCTGCGCTAGTCTCTGCCAGGGCCCTACGAGCTCCTTGACACTTTCAGATGTCTCACTTTTAAGCTTTGCTCTGCTGAGAAAGAGGTCAAAGAGAGCTCTTCTTGAAGTTGCCACTGTGACCCTACGCTGGCTCAGGAGCATTTCTTTGTCCAACAAAACCCACCCCACTGCTCCCAAAGCATCCCCAAGAGCCCATCTGTGTGGCCTGCTGTCTCAGAAAGCAAAGAGACAGAGAGCTGAAAGCACACTGCACCAAACCGGGCATTTCATTCTAAACCCCAGGGCTGAGAGCCAGCTTCTCCGATGTATCCGAATCAGAGCTATACGCAGACTAATTATTACACCTTTGAGCCTGCCAGTCCTGAGCGTAGGTGACTGCAGCTGCTGCTACTATATCTAGTAGTTTGCCCAAAAGCACAATTAACATTCTCAGCAGCGGGGTCCAAATTAGTTGTGTGGATTTCCGTGAGTAGGGAAGGTCTAGGAGTAGAAACAATGATGTGATCGTCCAGTCTACTCCCTGCACTGCCCCTGGCGGGCGACATGCTGCCCGGCCTGACCTGCAATGGGGAAGTGCGGCCAGAGTCTAATTAGCATTCCAGCAGTGAGCACTGAAATGCTGTCTTGCATTCTATCACCATCTAATTAGAAAAGGAGAAGGCCGGGCAAAAGAGGCAGACACTCAAAAAAGAAGAAAGAAATATAGACGGATGGAAAGATGCCTGCATCCTTGGCTACCTTGTCCCAAACCTGTGTCCATCATCCTTTACTTAATTTCCCTTAAGTATAAAAATAACCAGAGATATTTCTTTGAGATATGCTATTACAGTTTATTCCTCATTTCCAAAGCTGACATCCCACCTGCTGGGCATCAGTCGGTGAAGATCCAACAGGGATAAAGTAAGAGCAGATACGCCCACAGCCAAACGACCCCTGCCAGCCCACAGCCGCTCCTTACCTCCCAGGCCAAGACCGACCAAGCAGTGACATCATCAGTTAAAACAACATCTTGCTCACCTGCTTTCTAGCTTTCTCCTCCCTGGCCTGGGCTTTCATCTGCTGAACTTCCAAAGAATCAGCCTTCCTTCTCCTCATAAATAAGTCGTGGTTCCCAATACATAGCTGGAGAATCTGTGGCCACAGAAGAAGCAGGAGAAACGTTAAGACCCATGAATTTACTTTGCTGCCTATAAGCCCACCAGCACTGTGGTATCTTGGGCTCTTGCAGGTAGCAGTAAGCCTGAAGGGGAAAGAGTGGAGTGAAATACCAAAGCCCTGTTAAGGCTCTAGTGCTCTCAGCTCTGGAGACATGCAAAATTAGATTGCCTTCGATATACCAAGAAGTAAAAATCACAAGGGAAGGGATGTCTAGAGGACGCTTTATCATGTCTTCCAGATGCACCTCACTCTCCTCAGCCTACATGTGGCTCTGCAGATCAGAGAGGACAGGAAAGCTGGTTCAGTAAGTTGGGCTGGGACAACAGGTTATTCACATGGAAAAAAATAAATTGGATCCCTCCCTCACACCACACACAAAACTTGACTCCAGAAGGATTAAAGACTGAAATGCAAAGATCAAGCCCTGAAACTTTTAGAAGAGAATATAGAAGAATATCTTTATTATAGTATAAGGAAAGATGTCAAATAAGATACAAAAAAGTACAGATGATTAAGGAAAAGATTGATATATCTGTCTACAGTAAAATTAAAAAATTTATTGTCAAGATATTATTAAAAAAAAGAGGAAATACAAGACACAAATTTGGCGAAGATATAACCAATAAAGAAAGCAAATGACCCAAAAGAAAAATCACCAAAAGACATAAAAAAAAATTAATAGAAGAGAAAATAAGATTGGCCAATAAACATAAGATGCTCAACCTCATTAGTGATTATAAAAATGCAAATTAACACGACCCTGAAATACCATTTTATATGCACAAGATTGGCAAAAATTTCAAAAGGCAGAGAATACAAGTGTTAAAGACATAGAGCAAAAGGAACTGTCACCCACTACTGTTGGACCTGTAAACCGATTCACCCTCTTTGGAAAACAATGTGACAAAATGTTGTCTATGAGCATACACTAAGCCCTGTACTTCATCTCCTATGTATGTACTCTAGACTAGAGAAGCTATTGGCCATGAGCACCAGGGACAGATACAACACTTTTCACAACAGCCTGTTAAAACGACAGAAGCAGAAAGCATTTAATTATCCATTAAATAGGAGAATGAGAAATATATATGTCTCTATATAATAAAGTACCATAAAGAGGTAAAAGTGAACAGACTACATCTTTAAGCATCGACACAGATAAATCTCAAAAAAATAATGTGTAAAAAAGGCAAGTGACAAAAGAACATATATGGTTGATAGCAATTAAATTTCATAAACATGTAAAACTTAAAAGTATACTTATTTTGCCACATAGGAAATAAACTTGTGATAAAAAGCAAGGGGATGATGAGCACGCAGCTCAGAACAGGGATCGCGCTTGGGGAGGGGGAAGGAGAGACGAGCACGGTGTTAGCACGCGGGGTCTTGGCAGTGTGGAGAGGCGCTGTTTCTTAAAGCTGGGTTGTGGGTTCACAGCTGCTCATTTGTGTGATTCCTTATACCTTACATATACATTACACTTATCCTTTTATATATATGAAGTACTTCAATAGAAATCATTTTTAAAACTTCCTCATCATAAAATTTAGGTTTGACTCTCCAGGTTAAGCTAAAGAGAAAAGTGTGTACCAAGTGAGCTCTCATTTTGCACTTCACAAGGTATCGCCTGATAGTCTCTAAAAAGCAGCATTTGATTTCTCAGAAAAGCTACGGTTATCAGTCATGAAAACCAGGATCTCAACTTACCAGCTTATTAACACGAAGCTTGGAGGAGTTAAATTTGAAGACATCAATTTTCTTATCCAGTGGTTTAATAGTGAACTGCAAGAAGGAAGCAGAACAGAGTTTCAGCCTGACAGCCTGAAAATGTTACCACCAAGTGGGATATTCCACAAAAGCAGCATCTACACTGTCCCCAGTCCAGCACGAGGCTATGCCTGGTCCTGGCTTCCTGGTGCCCAGGCACTAAACCTCAGTGAATTAGGAGCACCAAGGGTGCCGGGTCTGGGAATGCGGGAGCTTGGGATCCTAACGGTGTATCCTCTGCACCATCATAGGTGTGGGCACGAGGGAGGGATCCCTGGCAACATGAAATTAGAATCCTTGAAGGGCCTGTCCTCAAGGCCAACACCGGGAGGGCTACTGCAGTCTAAGGCATGGCCCCTGCCTTCATGAAGCTCAGCATCCACTTGGAACTAGACTAGCAACAGCCAATTACTCAAGAAATCACATAATATATTAGGGATTCATTGGGTGGTACAAATCACAACTGTCTAGGGATTCAGAGCAGATCCACCATAAGCAGAAAGGGGCTGAAGCTGGTCTTAGAAGAACATGACAGAGCAGCTACGAGGCAGGGTGGAGGGCCATGCTGGCAGGGCAGCTACAGAAACAAGGAAGCTATGGGGAAATGAGCACTGGCTCTGTGCATGTGTGACTGAGATGAGCAATGGGCTTAGCCTGGGAAGGAGGAAGGGTAGGCCTGGGGAGCGCTGGTGAGGAATGAGAGACAGTCAGATGTCTGCGGCCACACCACCCTGAATGCGCTTGATCTCATCTGATCTTGGAAGAGATAGTCAGAGGAGTTTAGATTGGATGTGACAGGACACGGGAAGCCACTAGGTTTCTGAACACGGGAATAATTTGGTAAAAGTTGTTAATAGAAGGAATCAAATGTGAAGGAAAATGGACTGGAGTAGAAAAACATAGTTCCTGAAGTCAAGTGGAGAGAAAGATGGATGATAATGACAGGGCAGTGGCTTAGTCGGAGAACACAGGGTCAGACCACTGGCAGGAAAGCATGTCAGGAACAAGGCAACTGCTGCTCTCAACCACTCCTGATGAGACCAGACAGATCCTAACTTCCAAGATGCACTTACAAAATGGATATTCAATCCCAAGAAAGAATAGCTAAGCAGATAAATACGTTTGGGAAGATATATTCTTCGGTATTTCTTTCACACATTATATTGTCCAACAAGGAATTAGCACACTGAGAACAGAAAATGATCCTTTGTTAAGCTTTTGGCCAAGTTAACTTAGAAGCAATACTGCTCTTGTGTAGGCTGCTATTTGTGAATTTCTTGAGCTCATTTTTGGCCTTGCTGTCAAACCCTGGAGCTGTCAGTGGGAAACCACAAGTAGTGGGGAAACCACAGGCTCTGTGCCACGCCAGGGCGTACACAAAGAATCAACAGATCATTTAAAATAAACTAACATTTCTGTTTTGACAGCACGGCTGTCACACATAACTACCAAGACTATTTCCCATTATGTCAAGCCAGCTTGGGGACCTCTTACTGCATGAATTTACTGACATGGTGGAACCTGACGGTACCTTGCCCCCCGAGAGGGTATATTACAGTTTATTGTGTCAGGCCATACTAGGGGTGACTTTAATCCTGGGATTCTTTGAAGAATGAGTGTTTGGAGAGCCTTTATGGTACAAATGCATGGATGTGCAGTAAACAGACTTTATGAAAGTGGGAGATGAAAAACTACCACACTGTGGGGTACCTACTGCTTTAAGTCCTGTGGAGCACTCAATTTAGGGACTTTAAAAAAGAAATACTTAAATGCTCATCTCCCTGGCTGACTACATACAAAAACTTCAAAGTCAGAATGTTTTGAGTTAAGAGGCTTGCTCTTTCTCAACAAGCATGGCTGAGTAGGTCCCAATCACGCACTGGAAACCAGGGACCTGGTGTCCTTTCCTCGAGTTGCTAGAAAGAGAAAAAGGAAATTGCCCAGAGGTCGGGGCTCTGCAGGCAGCACCACGAGCCATCACCTGTACTCCCCACTCCGTGTCCTGGCTGTGCGGACACCAGCAGGTCACTGAGTGGAGCCTCCCTCTGCCCAGCGCCCCTGTTCTCTCAGGGCTCAGCCTTTGGGCCTCTCTGAAAAGCAGGAGATGTGTCATCAGTGACCCCGCCTGCCAGCCTCTGCCACTCCACTTGTCAGACACAGGTCACTTGAACCCTCTGCATCTCTGCTTCCCAGCGTGACACAGATTGTGACAAGAGATCACAACGACACTGCCTCTACAGCAGTGTTTTCGTAAGGATTAAATCAGAGGGTCAGGGTGAAAGCGCTTGTAAGTGGAAGATTATATCATTGTCGTCTTCATCATCAGTCCCTTCCACTGTACTTATTTATTATAACAGTTGAGTCGCTACTTGTCTATAACTTCCATAAGGCTGAGACTAGATTTTCTACATCTTTTTTTCCCTATGAAACCTAGCACAAAGCAGATACTCAATAACTCCCTTAAAATCAATGAAGAATGAATGGATGGATGAATGAATAAACACAGGATTACGGCATTTGGGAAAAGTCGCCATCCTATATAGAAATATTTGAATTTTAAGAGTGTCCATCTGGAAGCACATGTGCCTGGCTTCTGGCCAGGGCTCGGCTCCCCAACCTGTTGGAATAGCCACCCAGCAGGCTGCTTTAAAAAAAAAGAGGTGTCCAAGTTATTCAAACTTAATTATTCTCAAATTCTTGTAAGCATATTAACCTAATATCCTTACTTACATCATTGCTGAGAGATACATACACACAAAAATATATATGTATATATGTGCGTATGTGTATGTGTATACATATATACACACACATATATAAATATATAAATTTATATATAATTTATATATATATATATTTCTCTACCACATGTATCAAGCACTAGACACAGGAAGAAGGCTCAATATAGACCACACTTAAAATACAAAGAGAATTTAAGTCAGGTGCTGTGGTGCATGTCTACAGTCCCAGCTACTTGGGAGGCTGAGGCAGGAGGATCGCTTGGGCCCAGGAGTTGAAACCCAGCCTAGGCAACATAGTGAAACCTCGTCTCAAAAAAAGAAAAGAAAGGAAAAGAAGGAAAGGAAAAGAAAAGAAAAACAGAGAGAATTTATCACCAGAAATAGAAAGCCAAGTAACAAGGAAATGTTACTTTTTTTGTTTGTTTACTCTCCTTTGGGGTTTAGCTCTGACAAGTTGAGCTTCCCAGTCTCTTACTAGTGAGCAGTGGGGTTTAGTGACCCCCTTTGACAAAAGGATGCCAATATTCTTCTGTAAATACTTTAAAAATCAACAACCCAAATCCTAAAGCCTGGGAATTAAAGGATTTTATTGATAGCAAGGAGATGGCCTGGCTGGGGAAGCTCCAGCAAGGAGGGGACATGGGGAGAGATCTTTTGTTGGACCACGGGGCCACTGGTGGCATCTGCAGCGCAGACATGTCCTACCTCCTTGTCACTGTATGAGATGTTTCGGATTTCATTCCACGGGAAGGAGATCTTGGGGGTCAGCCTGTTCTCAGGGTCATAGATGTGAAGCCCCAGAGCATCCACTCCAAGCAGCAGCTCTGTGCCCTTTTTATTCTGTGGATCCAATAAAGAATAGCCGCTGTAAGCTCCAGCTGAGGCTTGAGATTTTATTCAACCTTTCAAAAAACCTGGCATACACCCTTACATATGACAAGTTGCAACAGATCCCAACAGTCACAACTGTCTTGTAACCCAGGAGGCTTCCAGCTTTCTGAATTGGGGCAGGCAGAGGCAAAATTGTACCATTCCTGTGACACATGGGTCCCCCAGAAGGATCACTGGGGGCTTCTGTCACTAGCTTGATGGCTAAATGAACAGTATCTAAGTGTTGTTACCTCTAGTTAAATAACCAGGTTATCATAGGTGTAGAATTAAAATCCTAGTTATTTTTTTTTTAGAGACAGGGTCTCACTCTTGCTCAGGCTGGTCTCGAACTCCTGAGCTCAAGCGATCCTCCTGCCTTGGCCTCCCAGAGTGTTAGGATTACAGGCATGAGCCACCGTGCCTGGCCCAACATTTAAACATTTATGTTAAAAGAAACAGTTGTTGGACTACTAGAAAGAAAATTTTAAGTGCTGGAACTGAATGGTCTCATTTAATGACAAAATGTAGTCTTATGTGATAAAGTAAGTATAATAAAATGTTAACTGTAAAATCTAGGTAGTGAGTACATACGGATATTCACAGAAAAATTCTTTCAACTTTCCTATGTTTTTAAATTTTTAATAATTAAATGTTATGAAAAGCATATCAGAAGAAATTATTATGAATTACTCCTCAATAAAGCTGTGTAAAAAATTAATTGACTGTATGTATGCTATGCCTGACTGTGGCCCTGATCAGCAGTCACAGAGCCCTCGGCCCCCACCTCACCGACCTAGCTAAGGACCTGATGGTCGTATGTGCGGGTCTGTCCGCCAGCGCTGTGGTCTGGCAGTTGTTTGGAGATGGAAGAAAACTCCCCACACAAGGACCCTACAGCACCTGACCCTTGCTGACAACAAGGAAATTGAACTAAGGCTCAAGGTCAGGAAAACAGATCTGCAAATTGAGAAGATTCTCGGACTGTGATGCGAGGTACCAATCTAACAGCAGGCATCAGACGGAGAAGTGAGTGCTCCAACATAAATCTTTTCACTCCTGACACCCTGAAGTCAGGCACTACCACCAAACCGTGAGAGATTCTTCTGCTTGTCAGCAAAGCTTTTAAAACTACTGCATTAACAGAAGTGATGCTTTGTACTTTTAAATTTGCAGTACATTTTGGAAAATGAGATATTTCATTATGTTTCTGACTATCTAAATTTTAAAAAAAGAAAGAAAGCTGGGCATGGTGGTGTGCGGCTGCAGTCCCAGCTACTGGGGAGGCTGAGGCAGGAGGATTCCTTGAGCCCAGGAGTGGGAGGCTGCAGTGAGCTATGATCACATCACTGTACTCTTACCTGGGTGACAGAGTGAGACCCTGTCTCTTAAAAAAAAAAAGCAAAAAAAAAAAAAGCTGGACCTAATGTCTAATGCGACCACACTCATGCCGAGTCTGTTTCAAACAAAACCTGTTTCCTTTCAGGCTGCACAAACAGGTCCATCAGGAGTTCGAGTCCGGCCTGGGAAAAACAGACTCCAACACTTCTAGAGACTAAACAGAGAGGTGAGGACTCAAGCAGCCCCTTTTAAATTGTTTTAAGCACATATTTTCCTTTAATTGTGGAATTTCAGGAAATTTAATATAAAAGACACTAAAATAGCCTTTAGCTTTATCTACTCCTCAATATAAGAAACACACACAAAAAACAGCATATGGTAGTCTAACTGACATAGAAATACTCCCTAATAAGAAACTTTTTTAGCTGGGTGCAGTAGCACACCTCAGCTACTCGGGAGGCTAAGGTGGGAGGATTGTCTGAGCCCAGGAATTCGAGGTGAGCCTGGGTAACACAGAGACACTCTGTTTCTCTCAAAAAAAAAAGAAAGAAGGAAAAAAAGAAACTTTTTTGAGAATTATAAAACTCTAGTTTTCTAGAATCTAGGTGGCCAAGATTGGGGCAAAAGGAGTTGACAAAAACACACAAATTTGTTAAATTACTCTGACCTTAAAGAAACCAAACCAAGGCCCAGCACAGTGGCTCATGCCTGTAATCCTAGCACTCCGGGAGGCCGAGGCGGGCGGATCGTTCTGAGCTCAGGAGTTCGAGACCAGCCTGAGCAAGAGCGAGATCCCGTCTCTACCAAAAATAGAAAGAAATTAATTGGACAGCTAAAAATATATATAGAAAAAAAATTAGCTGGGCATGGTGGCACATGCCTGTAGTCCCAGCTACTCCAGAGGTTGAGACAGTAGGATTGCTTGAGCCCAGGAGTTTAAGGTTGCTGTGAGCTAGGCTGAGGCCACGGCACTGGCGCCCAGGCAACAAAGACTCTGTCTCAAAAAAAAAACCAAACCAAAAAAAAAAAAAAGAAAAAAAAAGAAACCAAACAATTAGCAAATACAAACCAGTAAAACTTTAGAAAACAACCATCAGCATCATTATGGAACATCTCTGAGGCACTCATTTACTATAAGAAATAACATAACACTTCAGTGTGCCTTATTTTTTATGCAGAGTAATCCATAAAAAAATCTATATTTAGGAAATGAATAATCAGATAGAAATCTATCCTAGAATATTTAGAATGTGTTTCAATTTACCGAAATTTAATACAAAAGTTGTAGGAACCCAAAAAATGAAAGCAAAGTGTAATTAGGATAATAAAGGTGGACTGCCATGGCTGACTTTTAACCTCTACACAACTGTGGTTTGGAGCCAATGGTGACGTGCTTTAGCAAAGTGCATGTATTCTTTTGGAAGAAGCTCCCCATACATTGCAGCTAGCAACCAACTCACAGGAGAAAGACATTCTAAAGGCTGGGATCTGGGCTGAACACAAAGGCTTCTCCCTGCAGAAACAGTGGGTTCCCAGAGGATAGCAGACTATTAATGGTCTGAATAGAAAACCAATTAGCCTCATAGTGAGAACAAGAGTCCCTGCCCAAACAAATCAGTAATCTATAAAAGCAGCTTTACTATTCTGTGCCTAGGGGGGAAAGAAAGTATTTACAGGTGCTCCCTGTGGGCGGAGATCTCACAGAGCCAAAAATAATCAAATCTTACACTCGGGGCATTCAAACAAGTTTCTGCTGAGAGCAAAACCAGGCCCAAGGTCCCCAAGGCTCAATTGACACTTAATTACCTATGACCTAACTGAAATCCAAAAATAGAAAATCAGGCTCTAAGGCCTCTCTCCCCTTTCTCTTTTCTTCTTTACCCAGTGAACCATAAAAGATTCTACCACCCTGGAATGAAGAAGTAACCCATTTTAGCAGTCTGGCCCTGATTCGGTCTCTGTTTACTACAAAAGGAACTAGGAGAGGCTTCAACACACCCGGATTGCAAAGTAGTTCACGCCATACATTTCCAGGTCCTGAGCTATCTTCAAATATTCCATTTCAGCTTCGTCCCTGTGAGGAGAATGGAAGACACTGTCACTGGAGCTGAGTGAGTTTGGTGGAGGGCGGGAACAGGGCAAGCAGAATGTTCCGACCCTGTCATTCCTCGGGAGCCACGCCGTCGGTAGAAGACACGAGCCAGGGCAGGTATCAGCAAAGCCCCATCCAACCCCAAGTCTATTAAACACATCGAGGTCAAGCAGAATTTCCCATTCCCGTAAAATGAGAATATGAGAACAGATTCATTATGATATCTCTTGATTTCAATTTCCCATTTGGCTTTTAGTAAACACTGACACTTGTCTCAAGTAATTCAAGAAGAGCAAACGGTATGTTATCTTCGACCCTCAAAGGGATTTAGATGTTCAAATTTTATTTAAGTCCTTGCTTTATCGTTGTGTACTTTCTTTACTTAGAAAGTTTTGGTAATGAAACAACTCTCTCTGCAAGCTTGTCAGCTTGTCAGCTTGTAGCTTGTCAGCTACTTTTCCTGATTTTATTTTTTGGATATTGTTGGAGGTTGGGGCAAGAGCTACATCTGAGTTATAAAAATCAAGCCAGATCACGTACTTCTAAGTTATAAGTCAAATTTAAAGCTCTTGAACAGCAATGACTTGCAGAAAACTCCCAAATAGATACAGTATTGAAATATTTTAACTCAAGCCTCCCTATGTCCTTGTCCTCTTCCATCTCTCCTCAATCTCAAAATGCTCTCAAGTGAATTTTTAAAAATCCAGCCTGAAAGAATGCCAAGTGTTGGCAAGCAGGTGGAGAAACCAGAAATCACACATGCTGATGATGTAAATTCTATAATTACTTTGAGAAATTGTTTGATATAATTGAGAGGGCAAAAACCAGGAGACAACCCGACAACCCACATGTCCATCAATAATAGAATGGATATTGATACGGTGGGATTCTACACAGCAATGAAAGTGAAAAAACTAATGCCACATGCCACAAACCCAAATCTTGCAATAAGGTGCCGAGTAAAAGAAGTGAGGCACAAAAATAGAAACCGACTGCATTTATCCAAAGTTTTAAATGGGCAACATTAACCTATGGAGTTAGAAATCAGGAGACTGTTCCAACCTGGGCAACATACTGAGACCTTGTCTTTACAAAAAATAGAAAAATTGCCAGGCATAGTGACATGTACCTGTAGTCCCAGGTACTCGGGAGGTTGGGGCAAGAGGGATCGCTTGGCCCAGGAGTTGGAGGCTGCAGTGAGCTATGATCACAGCACTGCACTCCAGCCTGGGTGACAGAGCAAGACCCTGTCTCAAAAAAAAAAAAAGAAAAATCAGGAGACTGGTTATGCTATTTCCTCCCCTGGTGTTACACAGTGTTCTCACTTTGTGACCACTGATGGAGCAGTGTACTCATGGTCTGTCCACCTTTCATTACATATGCTACACTTCTCTAAAAGTTAAAAAAAAAAAAAAAAAAGCATGCGATAGGAAGCTGATTTGAAGAAAAGAAAACATTTTGAAAGGCTAAAGAAAGATGATCAATTCCTGAAGTGATCAGGGGAATGCCAACTAGAACATAAGATACAATTTTTCACCTTTTAGATGAGAAAAATTAGATTGATAAAAACAAGTGTTGGGAACAGAATGGGGAAGGGGAGACACTCTCAGGACACTGCTGATGGACGAGGGCAAATGGCACAGCCTTTTGGGAGAACCATGTGGTGGCGCCTGTCGAAACGCAAAATGCTGGCATCCTTTGACCCAGCAGCTCTCCTTCTAAGGAATCTGTCCTCAGAACCTCTCATATACTTGTATAACGATAGAAGACTGTGCCCTGCAGAAGCTTCTCTAAAAGTGAAAAGCCTAGATACTCCAAATGCCAACAATAGGCAGATGGCCGCAAAAGCAACGGGATATCCACACAATAGGATTCTCAAAATTAAACTGAATTACCAATGAGTATACCAGGTTTGCACATCCCGACAGGCAGTACGCACACCCACTTTATGCCGCCCGTACTGGAAAAAGGGCACACACAGAACTAAGACTGACATTACCCCCAGCTCTCTCTTTCTCTTTTCTATATTTCGGTGTTGCATTTTGTTTAACAAGCATGTCCCAGTTTTACAGTTCTTTAAAGAAAAAAAAAAAAGCCCACAAAGAAAGGTAAACCAATGAAGAAGGGGCTTCACCTGGCTCGGCCTCGGTGTTCAGCGTACCAGGCAGTAATTCTCTCCTCCCACATTTCCGGAGTCATTTGATACAGATTTATTACCTACCAAAAAACAGAGCAAAATTAAAAACCCACACACAAAGTAAGTTCAGGTATTGTTTGCCATTTTTACAATTCTGCATCATTTTTACAAAACAGCAAAGCTATTTTTATAGAGCTGCACGCAGGGAGACAGTCACACGCAGAGGTGGGCATGTAAACAAGACCATTCAATTGGAGAAGCAACTGAGTTATTACTCAGACCCAGGCGCACCCCTCGTCTGGCAGGGGCCTTTCTTTCTTGTCTTTGCTCTGGGCCAAGCTCCACTGCCAGGGGCAAGGCTTAACTAGCCTTGGGTCTTCACCTGCACAGAAGCAGTCAAAGGACAGGTAAAGGTAGAAGAGGTGAGGAGCATGGCTTTATTAGCCAATGACAGATGAGTGGGGACATAAAATTGAAAGGAGTGAAAGGGAGGGCGGGCCTGCTTCTGTGGCTAATGAACAAGATGAACGAAGCCTAGGATTAAAAACCACAATGCCCACCCCCACCTGGTCGCCTCTACCCACCCTCGCTGTCTGCAGCGCAGTTCCCAAGCTCAACACACACTGTTCTGCCCTCCTCCCTGGGAATCAGTGACATTCCACCACCTTTAAAGAAAGGACCATGCTGGACAAACATGGCCTATGGCCATGCTAGTCTTGGAAATGCCAAACTGACTCCACCAACCTTTGCTTTTTAATATTCTTAACAGAGATTCCATACTCTTTACTCAAAACTTATTACAAAATATTTATAAAAAATCTTCTTGCCACGTACTTCCGATATTCAGTTAGGTTTCTTTTAGAAAAAAGTCCTTCAGTTAGATTTCTTTTAGACTGAATATCTGCTATGTCTTCCCAAACGGGGAATTTGGTGTCTTACCCTTTTTGGAAGCAATTCCTCTTGGGCCAAAAATCCCCGCTTGTGAACAGAGGGGTCGTAATCACCATACTGGAGGGAGAAGAAAGGGAGAGCAGGCGATTTAGATTCTAGAGACAACTGCCATTCTGAACAGGGCTGGACTCACTCTCATTCTCTCCCAGCTCCAGGGAGTAATTCAATTCCGATGACAAGTCAAGATTTCAACCTTGCTAGTTTGTTATCCTTGAATGAAAATACAAATCTGATTATATCTATGAACAGAGTTGCATAATCCTTTAAAGGATGGGAGGGTGATGTGCTAATAAGAAAGGATATTTGTATGGAAATGTGGTCATGTTTTCTAACCCTCAAAGAAAGCAGCCACTTCCAAAACATCAGCTTTTCAATTGAAACAACAAAACACAACTGTGAAAGTTGCGATTAGCAATGTGTGATAAGAGTCTTACCTACAAATGCTTCTAAGTGGCTGATAATTGGAACCAATTGCTAGTGGGAGTTGGAAATAATGCAAGCAATATTTTTAATACCTTTCACTCAAGGCTCTGAAAAATACCTTGGAAAAATCTGGTGTCAAAACTGTCATCTCTATTGTACAGACAGAGCAAGAGTAAAAGGTTAATTGATTTTCCTAAAGCTACAGAGAAGTCACTAGTAGGGTCAGACATAGGCCCTGCATTTTAATTTATTCCTCCAGGAAAAATGACTTGGAAATTTCTTCTCTGATTTAAAAAAAAAAATACTCCTTTCTTTTCTAGAAAACTTAAGTCTGACCAGGAAATAATAAAAAACTAAAGAACATTTAAAAAGAAACTAACCATGAAACATACAGTAGGATATAAAATCAAAGCCTGTCTCTTATCAATTGGCATTCAGTAGCTCTTCTTTTTATAAAAAGAAACCATACTTTAGTATAATCTTCTATAAACATTTATCCTTTTAGCCACCAACATTGGAAAAACAAAGAAAGGTTAGGCACAAGGTGCTGATTCTATATATTAATACCACTAAATTGGGTCAGGATGTTTTGACCACCCTTTCATGCCCAAAGAGCCTCGAGTTAGACTTCTGGTATGTTCTCCAAATGAAATCATCCACCAAACACAGACACAGGATTGAAAGGAAGTGTTCATCATCAACGTTAAATCATGCCTCCTTCCCATATCACCCCGACTGTAAAAGCCTCATGAATTAATATTTATTTTGAATCTTCTCATTATTTTTCAAGTAGCAGGATTGTATTGCATTATTTTTTGAGTGTTAAAGGAATAAATCTGTCAAATTTAAACATTTTAAATATGATACATTTTTGTAACCCTGTTTATGCATTTCTTCATTGAAAAAAAATGAAAGGACCCTAGTTTCTCTCTACTTCTGGGAGGCTTGGAGATGTAGCTTTAACGGTACTCCCTTGGGAGGCAGCCGCGGCGTGAGCATAGGAGCCTGGCTCTGGAGGCAGGCTGCTTAAGGCTCAGTCCCACGTCTTACACTTAGTATAATAGCTATGTGACCCTGGAAATTTTTGTGTCTCACTTTTCTCATCTGTAAAACAGGAATAATAACAGTATTTATCTTGCAGGACCCTTGTAGGGATTAAATGAAATAATGCCCACACGGTTTTATTTTTTATTATTTTTTTTTCCCCTAACCTCCAAGGTAATGGTACCACATAGTTTTAAAAACTATGCTTGACACATACAACCTGCTGTCAAAAGATCTTAGGTCTCTCCAAGTCTGTTCTCTTATTTGTCATGTGACAGAACTGGCCTTAGAGGATCTTGAAAAGAGGGGTCTGGAGTACCCCTCTGAAGTCCTGAGTAAGGCACCCTCTCTCTAAACCTCTCAGCTTCTCCATCTGTATGGCAAAGGTCATAACAACGTCTACCTCATGAGGGAGATGAGAATAAATAGTCAGACAATCCAGGTAAGCACTTAGCACGTGTCTGACTCATGGTCAAAGTCAGGTATCGTTATTATCGTCATCCTCTGCATTATCTATAACACTGGTCACTGTTTGCCTCCCCAGTTTTCTTTGCTAAAGAAAGCACTGTTAGTTGTATTTGCAAACCTCTCAATAATGCTGACCAAACTTTAATGCAAAAGTAAGCAGATATGCAAAGTTAAAGTTGTAAATTCAAGTTCCAAAGACTTGCAAGATTAACAATCTCCATTATTATACTGAGCTCTCGCTACTCCGCTGATCAAATATATTACATCTCAGCGATGCTGAGGTGGTGAAGACCCTGCTGAAAGAACTTCTCCACTGGACTAACTCCACTTCCAACATTAAAGCCACCGTGTCTGCTCTTAAATGCCTCTTAAAAAAACAAAGGAAGAAAAAGAAATCCTGAAGTTGTGGCAGTTGGTGACTATAAAAGATACTACTCCAGAGATAGAGATGGCTGTTCCTCATCGTTTTATGTAACTGATGCATTCTGATAATATAACCGGGGTGAATTTAATGTGAAGCTAAGGAAGCTTGGATTTCAGATCTCTGCACCTGCATGGGCCTGCACCTAATTTTACCTTCATAATCTGGTATTCTTGCATCGAAGAGAATCCCCTAAATTATATAAACTTCAGGCCCCAGAAAACCTGGATCTACCCCGATATAAACCAATTGAATTTAAATCCAAGAAAGGAGTTCACCATTTAAAAGACTTGTGGAATCAATTCATAAGTTGTCTATATATGGGAAATTAGATCAAATGCTCTGAACGAGGTCTCACAAAAACATAAAGATTTGATAATTACAAATTTAGTGACACACACCAGTCACTAAATTCCAGATGGACTGAAGATTCAAACTTATAAATGAAAATCCATAAAAATCTCAGAACAAAATATAGATCATAGGTATAACAATGGTTGGTGAAGCCATTCTAAAAATCACTGAAAAGATACAAAGAAAAAGATTGACAAGTCTGATCTGTAAAAACAGACAAAACGGTGATACTCTTTGTACATGGAGCTCCTATAAATCAATTAGAAAAAGATAAAAAACACAGTGGAAAAATGGGCAATGGCAATGAAGGAAATACAAACTTCAAAAAATCTATTTTTCTATCAGATTAGCAAAAATTTAAAAGACTGATAATTTTCACTGTTAGTGAGGATGTGGAAAAATAGGTATTTTCACACACTGTTGTTGGAAGTTAAATTATGACAACACTCTTGAAGGGCAATTTGGCCATATCTATTTAAATTTTTTAATTGATAAAATTTACACATGTAAAAGTTACCATCTTAAGTGTACAACTCAGTGGTGTTTAGTATATTCAGAATACTGTGCAACCATGACCACTATCAAATTCTAGAACACTTGCATCACCCCAAAAAGAAATCCTGTACCCCCTAGCAGTCACTCCTAATTTCTTCCTTTCCCCACCTCCTGGCAACGACCAAATCTATGGATTTGCCTATTCTGGACATTTCATACACAGGTAAATGGAATCATAAAATATGTAGCCTTTTGTATCTGGCTTCTTTCGCTTAGCATTACTTAAATTTTAAATGCTCTTACCCTTCAACCCAGTTATACCATTTCTTGGTATCTATCATAGAGAAATATTGTTTATATATGCCCAAAGAGGCATATATATAAGGATGTTCACTGCATCTGTTTAAACAATAGAAAAACAACAGGGGGAAAAAAACCCTAAATATCTATCAATGAAGATATATTTAAATTACCTACAGTCCCTCCTTTCTGTGAAATACAGTTCAGCAGTTTAAAAAAATAATGTGGATCTATGTTTTGATAGTTTTAAGTGAAAAGGATGTATTGCAGGAGTTCTTCTGGAACAGCCACCTAAACTAGCCGGGGGTGTGTCTCCTCACCTCCCCCGGCCCCTCCCACACCCGGCACTCTACAGAGCTTATGCAGACTCACAGTCTCTCCAGCAAGTAATGAGCACCAACCATGTGGTTATCCAATTTAGTAATCTGCGCCAGGCGTGGTGGCTCATGTCTGCAATCTTAGCGCTTCGGGAGGCTGAGGTGGGAGGATCACTTGAGGCCAGGAGTTTGAGACTAGCCTGGGCAATATCAAGACCCTACCTCTACAAAAAAAATTTAAAAATTAGCCAGGCATGGTGGCCTGTGTCTGTAATCCCAGCTACTTAGGAAGCTAAGGTGGGAAGATCCCTTGACCCCAGGAGCTGGAGATTACAGTAAACTATGATCATGCCACTGCACTCCAAACTAGGTGACAGAGCAAGACCCTGTCTCTAAAAAAATAAAATGGAAAAAATGGAAAAAACAATTCAGTACTCCCTGACTATTTTATGGTTTTAAAATGTTACCTTACTGTTGCTTTCATTTTTCTTTTTCCTGATTACTAGTGAGATCGAACATCTGTTTGTATTTACTGACCATTCTCCTTTTGCTTCTATAAAGTGCCTGTTTATACCCTTTGCGTCCACTCTTCTATTTGTCTTTTTCTTATAAACATAAGATTTTTTGCATTTAGGTACACATCTTTTGTCAATTCTATGCAATTTGACTTCTAGAAAGCTACCTTAAGGGGAAAAAACTTTTGGACAAGTACACAAAGAATCATACAAAAGGATTTTCAGTCAAGCTCTGTTTATAACAGGGAAAAAGGGAAAACAAGTTACCTCCTCCCAGAAGGGGAATGGATAAACTAGGTTTGTTCATCAGTGGCTACCACACAGCAGTTAAAATCAATGAGCTACATCTACTCATATAACATGGGTACATCTCAAAACAGATGTTGAGTGGGGAAAAAAATCAATGTGTAATAGGCCATGCAAAAAAAAAAAGGATATGCAGAGTATAGCATTATTTACCTTTTACTATTTCACTTTTACCTCCTGGATATTTTTAAGTCGGATGGCTCCTATCCAACTAATCACTACCTGAGATGTGAACCTAACATTCTCTTGCCAGGATGACTATCATAGTCTTCTGAGGGCTCTTCCTGTTTCCCAACTTGTCTCACTCCAATCTGCCCTTCACATGGCCACCAAAGGCTCTGTTTAAAATATAAACCCTTCACTGGCTCTGCATCACCCACAGAATAAAGTTAAGACCTTTTATGATCTGATCCCCTACAGACCTCTCCAACCTCAACTCTTGCCACTCTCTACCTATACTTTACATGTACTCAATTTCTTAACTTAATTGTATTTTGGCACTCTGTCCCTGATTTGCATTAAAGAATACTAAGAAATACTAAGTCTCCCCTCCCACCATTCTTTTCCCTCTTCTAAACGCTAGGAGTCTGCAGGGAGCACCGCAAGATTCGTAAATTACATACCATTCCCTCCCAAAGTCATTTTTAATAAGAACACATTTCAAACACCAAATGGTCAATATAAAATCCAACAGGTGGCTTAAACATTGCAAGATGGTTTAGTGCGTCATGTGACTGGACCAAAAAAACCCTGCCTACACTTCTGATTCAAGTATAACTCAAATTCCAACCAAGAAATATGGTTCTTGTTAACTGAACCATGTGATTAGTATTTGTATTTATACTTTGAGGGTAAGTGTTTCTTTATGCCTTGGAATTAACTGTCTATATCGTTTGAACAGCTGAAATACCGTAATGAATATATTTGTGCATAATTACATTCCATGTGTTAATGAGCTCAATTAGCTTTCCCCTCCATACTTCTAACGTTCCTTTCTGTTTCAGAAGGGTTGTGGAAGAAAACAAGCTGAATGTAATGGTAGGAACCAGTATGGCTTACTGAAAAGCTTGGACTAATGTGATCCTACAAATCAAACTGGAATTTAGTGAAAGGCAGTGCTTGTTACCCACAGACCTCCCTCATGCTAGATGGCCAGGGGTGACAGCAAGGGGCAATGGCAATGTGCCACCATAGGCAGCCTGGACACCAGGGTCCAGGTCCACCAAGGCTCCACTCTCTCATTCCATCCTACTTCAAATCCTCTCCATCAAGAAGGGGACTATAGGCCAGGCACGGTGGCTCACGCCTGTAATCCCAGCACTCTGGGAGGCTGAGGTGGGTGGATCATTTGAGCTCAGGAGTTTGAGACCAGCCTGAGCAAGAGCAAGACCCCGTCTCTACTAACAAAAAAAAAAATAGAAAGAAATTAGTTGGACATATAAAAATACATATAGAAAAAATTAGCCGGGCCTAGTGGCACATGCCTGTAGTCCCAGCTACTCGGGATTAAAAAGAATGTATAAGGCTTGAGCTCAGGAGTTTGAGACCAGCCTGAGCAAGAGCGAGACCCTGTCTCTACAACATATAGAAAAAATTAGCCGGGCCTAGTGGCACATGCCTGTAGTCCCAGCTACTCGGGAGGCTGAGGCAGGAGGATTGCTGGAGCCCTGGAGTTTGAGGTTGCTATGAGCAACGCTGATGCCATGGCGCTCTAGCCTGGGCAACAGAGCAAGATTCTGTCTCAAAAAAAAAAAAAAAAAAAAAGAAGTGGACTATAAACTTCATAAAAGTAGAATTAACATGAAAGTATTGTGACTTTGGACAAATCACTAATCCTTTCCAAGCCTTAAATTCCTCATCAATAAGACAGGCAAAATAATGTCAAGTCTTGTCTTTCAGAAAACACTACACTGAAGATCACACAAAATATTCATGTTATAAAATTCCATGTAAAACTGGAAAACACTATGGGCATGCAAGATCTTATTAATAGCACAATCAGAGATCTCCTTTTAATGTTAACCAGCAGTCATAGAAACTGGACGCATGTCATATAGTAAGCCTTGGTTTCCCGAATGCAGACTTTAAGCCATAGATTACCTTTATTTGTAAGATCCTTAAAATTTACACCGGAAAAAATAGTTAGAACATCCTCCCCCATATGAACCACATATGTTGTCTGTGAATCACTTTCATCTCCAAATTAGTAGGATCCAAATTAGCAGGGCTTTCCTACAGTGAAATCTGTTTAAGCAAACATCTGCTGGTTCCTTGAAAAGTGATTTTTTTTTCCCACAGGTGGCCTTTGAATTTGTGGCCCAAAATCTATGGAAAGAAAATATAGCCTTTGCGACGGAAGCCCTTCAAAGAGAGGTAGTGTCCTTGAGAGCTTGGGTCTCCTCTCAGCTGGGAAGAAAGCATGAGAAAAGGAACTTGACTCTGGGCCAGGAAGTGCTCGGATTTAATGAAAATGACAATGACTGCTTCATCACTGTCAGGGCGATACTGATTGAAAGGACACATTTTCCTGTTACTAATATTCTTGATCAAAGCATAAAAGGCAGCATATGTTTTAGTTGAATTAAAGCCCATTTTCTGTTTTCTCAATTACTCATTATTCAGGGAAGTGGAATAGGGAAGGCACAAAATGCTGTCCCAAAGCCATGAATTCTGCCCTTAGCTTTACCCAAGATCGCCCACATGACCTTGGGCAAATTGCTGAGGCAAATACTTGCTTTAACGTCCGAATCTATGACAGAGTCAACAACTCCCGCCCCCAAGTCTGGTAAATACTCAGCAAATATTAGAGGAGTCATCAAACAATTAAACTGACTTCGGTGTTTCCATTGGTCTGACCAGCATGTACCACCTTTTTTTGCTCCCCCAAATGATAGGCCAATTACTGCCTGGCTTTGGTCTGAAACTATATTAAGCTACCTCAGAAAATGAGCTAAGATGAGTATCTTACTAATTATTCTACTATTATAGAGAAATGGCTTTATGGACACCTGTAATTAAAAAGGAAAATAACTGAAAAGATTATGCTTTAAAATCATGACACTAACGGAGGTGTCACAGGTCTGGGGACATCCTCCTATGCTTCAGTGAAAGGCAGGAAGCAGAGAGGCAAGACAAGGTGCTATTTAATTGAAATGGGAAATCCGAGAGACACGAAGCCCCTTGGGCTGACCCTATAATTGGTGTTATAAAAAAAGGTCTGAGGCCAGGTGCAGTGGCTCACCCCTGTAATTCCAGCACTTTGGGAGGCTGAGGCAGGAGGATTCCTTGAGCCCAGGAGTTGGAGGTTACAGTGGGCTATGATGACACCACCGCACTTCTAGCCCCGGCAACAGAGCAAAACCCTGTCTCAAAAAAATATATATATATACATATATATATATATATATATATATATAGTCTGCAGTGAAAGTGAATGATTTTCATTCAGCTAAACAGATAGCACAACAGGGCTCAGCAGGCCACAGCACCCAGCCACGTGCACAGCTCGCACACCCACTGGGGCGGAGGGTGGATGGAGCAAGGCATTCTCTGAGGGTGTGGTGTAGTCCCCACACACAGCGCAGCTGGTTCTCAGAAGATAGGTCTGAAGTGAGGCCCTTCTGCCCTAAGGCCATGTTTGGCCAAAATTGGAGCCCATAAATTCATTGTTCCTGGTTAATAAAAAGACGAGGCTGATCCAGTGAATGTAATGAACCATATGTGCGTAATGAGATTGCACAGAAAATTCATCTTTCTGAATGAATTCACTTGGACTGAATTCTAATTCATTAGAATGACACACTTATCATTTGTATGCGCATGTGCGTGCACACACACAATTATACAGATGCTGGGACAGCAACAGTGGTTCTCCCAAGTCCCCAAGTCCCATAACATCTCACTTTCTGGGGCAAGTCTTTCTGAAGTCCAGAAAACCCAAAGCGAGAGCAGACAGGAGTGATCATTTGACCTGAGTTCATGCCCGGGAAGAACGCCTCTTTCTTCTCCGCGCCTACCTTGGCCTGGACGGCGTATGAAGCCAGGAGCACCGACGCCTCGGGAGGGCAGTAGATCTTCTCATCTAAAATCTGCTTCTTTACCTGAAAGGCGCAACAAGGGAGATAAGACACCATGTGCACAGAAGCGAGCCGCGCAGGCTGGTCACAGCAGATGGCCGCAGGGTGAGCTAATAAGGGCTGCCAAAGCAGCCTGTTAATGATTTTCTGACAAAGGGTACAGTTTTTTTGTTTTTTTTTTTTTTACTGATGCAAACAGGTTGAGAGTTCAGTCACTGAGAAGTTATTGGTAAGATGGCTACACATAAAAACCTCTTACCTCTTCTCTTCATGGTCGATGCTGAAAGGTAAAAACAATCTCCGTGGTTACAACAGAGACAGCCATCTGGGCTGTGACAGAGAACTGTGAATGCGAGAAGTGTCCGGAGTGGCTCTGGGGGTGACTGCAGCCTCGGCCCCCGCTGAGCACACGCAGCACTAGAGGAAATGGATCTACTTTTAAGTCTTAACACACGACAAAAGTCACCAAGGCCACTGAGTTATGACTGCAGGAAAAAAACCATCACTTTCAATGTGCTGCTCTAAGGAAAAAGGAAGCAATAAAATGTGATCGATTCAACTTTTAAGTACACGTGAGGTCCAGGAAATATAATTCTTAAGCCATAATGTTGAATTAACATATTTCATGGCACTTAATTTCTTAGAACGGTGCAGCCTGTGATGTCCCAAACACAGAGGCAAGAGAGCCGCATGAAGTGGGGGCAAACTGAGATAAACACAACAGGAAAGCCAGCTCTCTTTTCACAGATGTCAACAGTCACCAGATTCATAAAAGGAATAACTTTTGTCTTGCTCAGTCATAAAAACACCCTAACATTTCCATATGAAGGAAAATCAAGCCAAAGTCACATGAGGGATAGACGCTGCTTCCAAGTGCTTACCAGAAAGCCATTTCTATAACGCTAGGACGTTCTGGGACCTAGGAGATCTTTATGTGGTTTCACTCAAACATAAAAATTCTACTCAGGTTTTAAAACTGACTTTACCTTCTTAGACAGAAAATGAAACCTGAGATGTTTCTGAAGGAGTGCAACTTTCTAATCCCCTGGTTTCTTTTCAAAGGAAAAAAAAAGACACACTACAGAAAAACTGAAAGGTCTTTCCTTTGACAGGAAAATGTTGGAAAGAAATTTGCCATCTCCTATATGTACATGTATGTTTGTGTGCGAATACCGTAGCCACCTCTGGGAAATCATGTAATTAGTGCCCCTGCTCCCACCTTTTACATTACTGACAATGGGTACCTCTCAGCACACAAGCAGCCCCCGTGTCACAAGCACACAAGCAAAACTGACAAGGTTTTCATGCTCAGACTAGTCCCCCTCCCTGTGCCCCTAGATGGTCAACCTGTAATTATGAATCTCCTAATTTCTTCAATTCAGTGGAGCAATTACTTACGGAATGCCTACTGTGCACTCAATGAGCCTTGCCTTTAAGGGGCGTACAGTCTAATGAGGGAGTAAGGGAGAAATAAGACAATTACAGACACAGAGTAGCATGAAGCATGATGTCTGAACTACCACATGCTCAGGATAAATCAAGTGTCGCTGGAATTCTGAAGTTCTGTCTTAATGAGAACAGATTTCAAATTTTTGAAAGAACTACTGCTTTATAAGACTCTCTTTAGCCTTCCTTTGCAACTACTGAGTACTTTTTTTTTTTTTTTTTTTTTTTTTTTGAGACAGAGTCTCACTGTGTTGCCTGGGCTAGAGTGCCGTGGCGTCATCCTAGCTCACAGCAACCTCAAACTCCTGGGCTCAAGCCATCCTCCTGCCTCAGCCTCCCGAGTAGCTGGGACTACAGGCATGTGCCACCATGCCCGGATAATTTTTTTTCTGTATGTTTTTAGTTGTCCAATTAATTTCTTTCTAATTTTTAGTAGAGACGGGGTCTCGCTCTTGCTCAGGCTGGTTTCGAACTGCTGAGCTCAAACAATCCTCCTGCCTCGGCCTCCCAGAGAGCTAGGATTACAGGCACGAGCCACCACGCCCGGCCACTACTGAGTACTTTTAAGTTAGCTAGAAGAAAACGGGATCTATCTTCAAGGAGGTTTTATATTAGATAGCCACTTGTATCCATTATTCACCATCACACCTTTGCAATTCCATCTGACACCAATTCTCATCGCTCAAGAATAGTTCTGTTCTGAAGATTGTTTTCCATTATACAACCAAAGGGGCTCACTTTCCAGAGGCAGAACATTTTTGCAATGTGAAGGTGTTTGTGGTCAACTCCAAGGGGTTAACCTAGGTTGATTCTGCAACCAGGCTGGGCAAGTTCTCTCAAAATTTGAGGGGGTAGCATGGACTGGTGTACCTGCAAGAAGAATAAATGTTGTGTGATCTCCTGAACCAGCTCCTCTTCAGCATTCTCAGGATAAAATTTGGCCAGGAAGTGAAAGGTGACTGGTTCTTCCTTTGAAACATCATGATCCAGCACCTGCAGAATTGGGGGACAAAAGGCAAACACACTATGTCGGCCCCTCTTCCCACCATGCTACTACCATCAAAGAAACCTTTTGCACAGAGTGCATACAATTTTTTGCCTGCTAAATTCATCACATTTCGCAAAGTTCATGATTCTACAGTTTTAAGCATTCACAAAGCCGTCCATAATAACAAGGGGTAATATTCATTTCCCATGGTGTTTCTTAACCAAATTAATCAATATCCTCAAGGGGCGAGTACATCTAAGACTAAGGCACAAATGTTCTCAAGGCCACAGAAATAGTTAAAAACTAGAAATGTATCACTCAAAGGTCTTGGGCACTGTCCTTTATGGTAGGCTGAAGGTTTTTTAATTTTCTAGAGTAGTAGAAACTTCCTTTATTCTTTTTTTCTCAGTGCCCACCTCTAACATTTAGGTGCCTGTTAGGATAAAGCTTAGAGATAATGAACTAGATCTCTGTGAAATCATCTAAACATTAACTGAGCAATAGAAGTGAAACATGTCTTTCATGGCAACCCTTACTTTCAAGGAACATCCAGAGATGCCCCATAAAATGCTTGGAGCACAGTCAGTAAACCACTGCCTTTAATCACCTAACAATTCCATCCACCCCCTGAAAAGCTTGAATCATCTGTTCTCCAGAATGAATTTCATTTCAGGACATAAACATGCCATGTGACAGGCCACCAGGCTCCATTAACATGTGTCATAATGTATTTCCTTTGAGCAGCAGGTTCCATGGCTCCTGATGCCCCCCAATCTAATATCCATTTGGCCAACACTCAAGTATGATTTAAAACTCACTTTGCTGATAATCATAAAAAACATACAGAGAGTTTTAGTGTCTTAGACACATAATTCTCCATGCTCCTGCTCCAATTCCAGGTGGCAGTGCCCAGGAGATTCAAAATAAACCTGATTTAGGACACCCTCTTGGATGCTGGTACCCAGCAGTACTTTGATGTTCATGATCATGAGCACTGGGAATTACCACTTGAAACTTAAAACCAGCAGGAATTCCGACGTGAAGATTTAGATTACTGTGTACACAGGTGAACACAATTTGAGCACTTAAACTTCAAGTCAAACTGGTAAAAGTGGCCAGGCACGGTGGCTCATGCCTGTACTCCTAGCACTTTGGGAGGCCGAGGTGGGAGGATCACTTAAGCCCAGGAGTTCAAGGTTAAGGTGAGCACAGTGAGCGATCATTGCACTATTGCGCTCCAGCCTAGGTGACAGAGCAAAACTATTTTTATTTTATTTATTTATTTATTTATTGAGACAGAGTCTCACTCTGTTGCCCTGGGTAGATTGCAGTGGCGTCATTGTAGCTCCCTGCCACCTCAAACTCCTGGGCTCAAGTAATCCTCTTGCCTCAGCCTCCCAAGTAGCTGGGACTACAGGTGCGTGCCACAATGCCCAGCTGACTTTTCTATTTTTAATAGAGACAGGGTCTCACTCTTGCTCAGGCTGGTCTCCAACTCCTGCAAGTGATGATGATCAAGCAATCCTCCCACCTCGGCCTCCCAGAGTGCTAGGATTACAGGTGTGAGCCACTGAGCCCAGCCAAGACTCTGTCTCTTAAAAACAAAACAAAACAAAACAAAACAAAAAACTTTGCCTTCTCATGCATGTTTAAAATTAAAAAAAAACAAAACAGTAAAAGATAAGAGGCTTTCAGCTTTCAATGTTTATCATGCCATGTATTAGATATAACTCCAATTACAGGTGGTACCATTTGGGGTAAGAATTGACTGACTTCGAGATTCAAGCGTCTTTTAGGAGTTACTGGTGAAAGCCCATGGCCCTGCTCCCCAGCTGTCTTCATGGTTAGGTAGGCAGGAAAGTAGGTAAGTGTGTCTTTGTGTGAACACATAAAACCACACAGAAGGCAGTCCCCTTAGGCAATATCCATTTCCAAGCCATATTAAAAGTGCTAAGAGGCCAGGCTTCTCCACCATGCCTCAGAAGCCCCAGACAATCCCAAGGACAAAATGGACATTTTTCCTTCGCCACAGGACCAGGCACTCTTTATGCCTTAGATCACATTAATGATTAATTCAAGTCAGGTAGTGGTGTTTCTCAAAAAGACTTCCAAAGATTCCCTAAAGAACATGAACCCCAAAAGAATCTTTCAAAGACATAAATTTTTTTTTTAAGTATAAGATAATGGTAATTTTTATCCATAAAACCTGACTAGTAGTTCAGTAAACTCAAGGGCATAAAGCCAGAGGCAATCAGGTTGGTGACAATGGGTAAAGAAGCCAGGGCTGGCAGCAGTTTCATCCTGGTAAGTCCTGCTTGCCTAGGAGAGCCCATGCGGAGTAGGATATTGGTAGCAACTCCAGGACCCACTTTCTGCACGACTTAATTCAGGAACTCGCCCCCTTCTCTGCCATGTAGCAGTAATGCCCTGATAAAGAGCAACTAAGTTAGGTCCCTGCCTGGGAAAGAACTGGAAAGCACACAGCAGCCCCACTGGTTTCACAGGGTTGCAGCCCGACCTTCTTGTCCATCTTGAGCCAGGCCACTGTATCTTTGATTGTGTACTGTAGTCCAAAGAACCAGGTTTCCCGGAGCCCCAGCGTCCGGCACACCAAATCAAATAGGTCCTTCCCTTTCCACTTCATCTGCAATAGAATAAACCAACAGGGAAGGACATTGTGAGCAAAAATCATAATATGCTCCCACAAAAACAAACCTCTTTTCTGCAGTCTCTGCTCTCAGATTCTCAAATGTATGGATGACACCAAGATGGCTGATGAGCACTGAGTTCCTAAATAATTTTAAAGCTTCCTACACAAACCCACGAGTGGGAAAATACCAATTAGAGCTTAATGGCTTAATCACTGCAAAGCATACACAATACCTCCCTTGGACAGTTCCTTACAGATCTTAATATCCCCAAAGCTGCTAATTTAGGCAAGCTGGTAAATAGGCATCCTCATTTAGGAGAGTCTAGCCTCTCGAGCTAACCCAGGGAGATGGCTAGCTTCTAGGGACATTAATTTCCTTGACATTTTGGTGATCTTTTTTAAAATCATGGCTCTGTCCTTTCATAAAAGGCTAGTGTTTTGTATTTTTTTTTAATTTAAAAACCGGTTTCCATAAAAATAAATAAAGACTGGTTTTACTAGAAGTTTTTTTAAATATGGGGGAGAAGTTGTAATCAAAGTCACAAATCATGGAGAAAAAGAACCATAAGAGACCATACAGTCCAATCACAGGTCTCTCCTACCACGGTGATTAACTGAGGCCAAAGGGGAAGCGACTCGCTCACAATCACACAGAGCAATTTCAAACTCTTGGTATCTAAATCCAGTGATGAATAGACACCAGGATACTGTAGTGTGTTTATCTTATAGCCTCATTTTCAGAAGCACCTGAAGCAATGGCTGCTAAACTCTTTTCTCTGCTATTCAATCTGGTAGCTGGAAAAGCAAGTTCAACATCTTAATAGGGGAAGAGAATGCCTGGCAGCTTAGTAAATGTTGCCACCTAGTGGCTTTCAAGCTAAATCACCGAGGATGTTCCCATGCTGCTCAACCATTTAGGGGCCGACTGCCCCCTCCCAGCCCCAGCCACTCCCCCAAGTATCAGATGGACATTCAAATACACACTCGAGGGCGGTTATGATCACAGGAGACACATTACAGAAACGGTGGTCTGATAAGAGTAATCGTTGGATTCAAATACAAGGTTGCCAGACATGAGAAGAATGAGACCCTCAGCTGCAGAAGCATCTGTCCTTCTGCCCACATTAGAAATCTCCACCCAAAGTCCCAGCACACTGAAGATGCATAATGAAAAGGAATAGGGAAAAATTTTAGGGTTAGAGACTTGTTATAAATGCAATAAGGGAAAAGTAAGTTAGACTTCTGATATCTGACCGGCTTTTGCTGAAACCTGATTCTACAGGGGAGTATTCAAGCAGGCCTTCTGTTTTTAATACATGTGAATGAACAGTGTACTCTCTATGAGGTACTCGACAGGAAAGCCCATCCATTCTCTGTGTTTGCAGTCAAAGCCCAGCAAAGCAGAAACCTAGATGAAGAACACCAAGACCGCAGCATATCGGCTTCTGTCCTTCGCTGGGGCTGCTTCTCCTATCCTTCCTTCAACCTCTGCCCCTGTCCCCTCTCTGGCTATAGTGGGAGCCCTGGAACGCTACACAGATTGAGGTCTGGAGAGATTATTTTGAGTAGAATAAAATGAAATGATGAGTTTTACCTTAAAAATATGATCTCCTTCTCCCTTTTCTAAGGCTGAATAATGGGCACACCCATTTCCCAGCCTGACAATAGGACAAAGGGGTTTTTTTTTAATTCACGGCAGGTTTTAATTCCTACAGGCAGACTTCACTGAAGAAATGTTATTTTGGAAAATGAGAATCTTCAGGATGCTGATTATCCTCTTGTCTCTATTTTAAGCCAGCACATAGTATATAAATTATAAATGACTACCTTGCTACAAGATAATGTAACACTAAAAAACAGGCATTAACTTGGAAAAGTTAAACACGCAAGGGCCAAGAAGATCAAGGTAACGATTCCCAATCTGCCGTAACTCACGGCCACGGCCAGGCCAGACTTTGGCAAGAAAGTGCTGTCTGCAAGTGGGATGTGCAGGGAATTGAAACAAAAGCTGCCAAGGGAATGATGAGTGAATTTCCCGACTTAGGAGTTTAAATCCTCCAACATGATATTGTATTAATGCAGTTTTCCTGTATTCCCTTCTACTGCATGCAAAACTATCTTTGTTGAATGCAAAAAATGTCTTTGTCCCTGTGAAGACAAAGGGAGAAGTGAATAAATTTTCACATCAATTCAGAATGCCCTATCTTAGATTTTTTTTTTTTGAGACAGAGTCTGGCTCTGTTGCCCTGGCTAGAGTACCGTGGCATCAGCTTAGCTCACAGCAACCTCAAACTCCTGGGCTCAAGCGATCCTCCTGCCTCAGCCTCCCAAGTAGCTGGGACTACAGGCATGAGCCACCACACCCGGCTAATTTTTTCTATATATATATTTTTAGTTGTCCAGATAATTTCTTTCTATTTTTAGTAGAGATGGGGTCTCGCTCTTGCTCAGGCTGGTCTCAAACTCCTGACCTTGAGCGATCTACCTGCCTCAGCCTCCCAGAGTGCTAGGATTACAGACGTGAGCCACCACGCCCGGCCAGATTTTTAACTTTGACACAAAAAATCAAGGCCAGAAGTAGTGGCTCATGCCTGTAATCCCAGTACTCTGGGAGGCTGAGACAGGCAGATCACTTAAGGCCAGGAATTCAAGACCAGCTTGAGCAATATAGTGAGATCCTATTTCTACAAAAAATAGAAAAATTAGCTGAGTGTGGTGGCGCATGCTTGTAGTCCCAGCTACTCAGGAGGTGGAGGCAGGAGGATCCCTTGAGCCCAAGAGTTTGAGGTTGCAGAGGGCTATGATCATGCCACTGCACTCCACCTGGGGTGACAGAGCGAGACTCTGTTTCAAAAAGAAAAAAAAAAAAAGGTAGAAAGCCAAATTAGGAAGACTGAGCAAGCCTCATATATTTTGGGAAGGGCATGTTGAAATTGAAAGGTACAACCTCGTTTAGTTAACAACATGCTGAGGTTAGATTTAACAAAACAGAAAAATTTCTCAATTGCCTAAAGACAGAACATTTTATGTTATAAATGGAGTTAGGGCTTTAAAATCAAATAGGTTCAGGACGTCTCTACCTGGTTTCCTCAGGCACCTTAACTTATCTTGTCTAAAACTGAATTGCTCATCTATTCCCCCCAGATTTGCTGTTTCTCCTGTATTCAATCTCTCCTTTAGTGGAACCACCTGGTGCCCCAGCCAGACACGCAGGTGTCCCTCTTGCTTCTTTCTCCTTTGGTCTCCTGTGCAGGCACCAGTTCTGTGACTCTGGCCTCCTTCCCATTTCCCAGGCTGCCTTCTCTCCCTCCCACTGCCTTCCTTATGGCAGGGGCTGGCCTCCTTTCTGCCCTTTCTGCTCCAGGGCTCCTTTCCTTCAACTCCTTCCCTACATTGTTGTCAGAGCACATCCAGAATGCAGGTCTGCAAAGAATGCAAAGACTTCATGGCTTCTGGCTGAAGTCCACCTGGTCCCACATGGAACCCCATTTCCACTACACCCCCTTCTGAACCCAGGTTGTTTGAACTCTGCCAGATGACTTGCAATTTCCTGTAGAAAGCACAATTTTTTTTTAATTTCTTTTGTAGAGACAGGGTCTTGCTATGTTGCCCATTGCCCAGACGGGACTTGATCTCCTGGGCGCAAGTGATCTTCCTGCCTCAGCCTCCTAGGTAGCTAGGACTATAGGCACACATGTACCACCACACCTGGCAAAAGCATGATTTTTTTAAACAGACTTACTTCCTTCTCTCCTTCGTCTAACTCTCATTTGTTCTTTAAGGCCTTCTCTGACGTGGGTCCTTGCCTGTTACTTCTACAGAAACGTTGCTTCTGCCATTAGTAGAGTCAGTCAGTGTGCACCACGACACCCGGCTAATTTTTTTCTATTTGTAGTTGAGAAAGGGCCTCACTCTTGCTCAGGCTGGTCTCGAACTCCTGATCTCAAGCCATCCTCCCACCTCGGCCTCCCAGAGTGCTAGGATTACAGGTGTGAGGCACTGCACCTGCCGGGTTTCTACTTTTTAACAAAGAGCTGTTGGTCATAGTTGTTCCGGGTGGCTCTCAGGACACCCTGTGGAAGGGAGGTCTTGAGGTATGAACAGGGCCTCCTGGGTGCCGGCAAGACTTGCCGGAACGTAACCATGCTTGTCGTCAGTGTTATCACCCCCTTGCACTGCACTGTGCTGACGCTGTGAAGTGACTCATTGTCATCTGAACGTCTCCCTAGATTGTGGGCACCTCAGAACAAGGGCAACATTAGTCATCTTTCTACTCCCCACAGTGCCCAGGCGAGTATGTACATACAAGACATGGCAAACAATGGCTGCCCAAAGGAACTGACTTGACTACTTCAAAAACCCAAGGCTCAAAGATGTAAAGCAAAATTAACCCCAGGCATCCACTTCCTCCACAAATATTTAGTGAACACACATTGTGTCCAACCACGGACCAAGGTGCAGGGGACAAATGGGGAAGAAGACACAGTCTCCACTCTCACGGGTCTAGGACACAAACCATCTGGGAACAGATAATCACCTCCCTCACCCCACACACAAAAATCAACTCCAGGTGTGGGTTTTCAGCACTGCAACACTTTTGAGGGCTGTAGGGACCCCCGGAAAGGGACCGCCTACCTTGGAGGGGTAGGGAACTGACATGTAAACTGCCTTGTGGTGGGAAAGAGGAGCCAAATGGAGACTGGGCTTGGGGAGCAAGCAGGGCAGTATGTTCCAGGTAAAGGGAACAGCATATGCCCAGGTCTAAAGGCAAAAAAGAGTTCAGATGTTCCTTATAGGAAATGAGAGTATGGAGTCCAGCTTGACTAGAGAATAGAGCCTTTCGCTGCATTTGCGAAAGGTCCAAAACTACCACCTAAAACCAATTCTTTGTCAACCATCGAACTCCACCTCTTTCATCTGAACCAGAGAACACAGTTATCTGGTGACTATTTTCTCCATTCCCAAGAATGGAACATAACTAGTACCATTCTAGC